ACACAAGATCGAAATGATATACTAACAGGACAGAACTAAGAACGAGGTCGGAAACACAGTCGCATTGACAAGTAAAAACAAATACAGCCTTAAAGAATATAAAGAGAGGACAACATTAATTTCATGGCCCATAGATCCTCATTGAGAAGCCAGCTTTGGTTCCTAAGCAGCAGATAAATCACACTGCTGGACCACATCTGATTTACACATATAATAAAAAATAAAAGACTTTTAACTATTCCAGAGCCCATATTGGATGAAATATTTGGACGACTGTCAGAGAACCACATATTTTCATTTAAAAGCAGCAATAAAATAGAGTAAAAAGTAGATTTACGAAAGCCTCAAGCAGCCATGCCAATGAATTCTGATGACAGATCACATGCAGTGACATATGGTGTTCTTCTTAGCTGTAATACCTGTAATACCTCCAGTTTATACCTGTGGATTATGTCGGCAGCTTTGAAAATGTCAAGGACTTCTCCTGATAAAAATGGTGAATAAACCCTGAATGTGGGACTCCCAGGCTAAAACAAAGCCAAATATCTACAGTTTAAGCTCTGTCATGTAACTTTTTTGATTTTATAGCATGTAAAACTTTTACTTCAGTGTGTGTAATTATGTTGTCTTTCTTTAATCCCTGCTGCTGGTGATCTCTGATTATATCACCCCAAAGACTGTCTGTAGTTTAATGTTTATTCTTCTAGTCAAAAGCAATAAAACTTCTTGATCACAGAAACAAGCGGACGTGGTTAAAAGATTCAGAGACAGGCAGTTTAAACTTTCAAAAAAAAAAAAAAAAGCAGGAAGAAGCAGATGATTTTATTCTCCTTTTAAAACTTACTACTGTCACTGTATTTCAAAAATGCAGGAAATAAGTAGTCATCCAGTGAATCTGCCTTTATGTGATCTGATATCACATGTACAGTTTAAAATGTTGGTGCCTTAAGAAAGCACAATCAACTGCAGTAATTATGTATATATATATATATATATATATATATATATATATATATATATATATATATATATATGTGAGGCTGTCTATACTGTATTACAGGTTAGCAGGGCAGTCAAGTGGATCACCCATGTATAAATAAGAGATACATTAAGTATTTTTCTTTCATTTAAAACGTTTATTTGCATAACATTGCCCAGTGTAATGTGACGTGATGTCACACAACAGCACAACGTAACACCCTGCCACTATAATCCATAAAGTAACACCAGGGCATGCTGACATCCACAGCTCCACACTGACTTCTACATACAAAAGTTCACTTATGACAAACAAAGCCATCATTATCGCATCCTTCTAGTGACAAAGTGGAAGGACAATCAGATTAGAGAACTTACTTTCAGGCTGGTGATGATGATGATGATGATGATGATCCTGCAGCAGCAGCAGCAGCTGTTCAGCACCGCGGACAGCTCCGGACTCTTCAGGTCTGAACCACTGACAGTGTGTATGAACTCTGTCACCTCCTCTGCTTCGTCGGGAGCTTTAAGCCCGCTAAGTTTGAGGGATCCGCCCCACCTCCCTCACTCCCTGCCCACTTATGACTGTCCCTGTACGGACTGCACACATAATCTTTTCGTTTGGATGAGTAAAGCGCCGAAAGCCGTGTGTGGCTTCTGCATTATGTAAGAGGACTGCGTGGGGCATGGACACTGAGGGGCCAGACATAGTGCCACTGTGTTTTATTGTTGTTTACTCCAAAATAATAACTCTCAGATTCTCTTAGAATATCCCGGTACGAATAAAAAACAACGAAACTTAGTTGACCGGTGCGCAGGAACGATATCATAAAAGTAAAGACTGCATTTGCTTATAAATAGCTATTGTACAGTTTTGGTTAAACATATCGATGGTCCACCAAGAAGATGTCATATGTTGTACAAAGTGTAGAGCACATCCAAGACAAATCTGTAATTTTGGGGTATATAAATAAAACTGAGTAGATTTAACTATAACTTTAGTCCCGTTACCCTTCTTAGAATTTATTAAAAGACAAATTTGATGAGGCCGCTGCAAGGGCGTTAGAGGTACCACTGAAGACATTGAGGTCCAATATAGAAATATATACCAGTAATTTTTTTCTAGGAAGTTTTTTTTAGCACCCATGGGAGAGTTTTTATACAGTCAAAAAGTATACAGTATACTGTACAAGAATGTACAAATGTTTTGGCTGATTACAGTATTTCTAAGCCCAACAGGATTCAGTCATTTTCCACCAGAATATTTTTCCTGGAAGCTTGGAAAGAGCTTTGAAACAGCATAAATTAAACTTGAACTGTTTGTTTTAAAGCTTTATAATTTCCTAGAACATTTCTTTTAAGATATGTAATATAATAGTAATATTATGGTTGTAAATACAAACAATATTTTGACATTATTATTTATTATTATTATTATTATTATTATTATTTTAGTTGTGTTTTTGAGCAGTTGTTGCTTGTAGTAATTTCTTAAAAATAACTGCACCATTTACATAAAACATACAGAAAATATAACTGAACAAGTAAAGATATCTTAGAGTCTCTTTGGTGTTGTGCTATGCCTTTGTTTGGGTTTAAAACATATATGGTTGAATTAACCTGCTCCTAGGCCTTGAGGGAAAAATGAACTGTGGGCCCCCACTGGCCACCCACTCTCCAGGTTTGCTGTGCTGCTGGTAGTTTGTAGTAATTTATTTAAACACACACTGATGTAGGAATAAGTACCATATAAAGGGAATAGAAACTATTGGTGAAGCTAGAATTCAATTAGATCAGATTTCAGAACCAGATGTCTACAAAACAAAACTGTCTACAAAACAGTGCTGCTGATCAGATAATAATGCAGGTAACATCTTTTCACCTTTTCAAGGTGCTTTCATTTAATTTTTTATTAATTCCCCAAACTGGTGGGTAGGATGCCCCACAAGTAAAGAGCCCTTGGCCAGTTGTTCACTTTGCCCTGGTAATCTTCACTTCCTTACAACATAATACTGTGGTTTGTTTGTAATAAAGTAGGTCTAGGCAAACTTTATTAATAGTTGCTTTAAGAGGTAACAAATTGAGTCCTATAGATTGCATATGCTTAAAGCAAGACTTCATTACTGTAGGTAAGATGACTGCTTTGCAAGTTTTGCTGAACTATAAGAAAATACATGATCAAGATGTGGAACAAAACAAGTAGAGCAACCTGACTGTGCCTGTGGCTTAGCTCCAAACACTCACTGTGAGAAGTAATTAATTGACACAATTAAAACTGTACAAACACTGGGACAGATTGCCGTCCATACACATCCACATCTCCCCCGCCTGAGGCCGCATGGGCTCTCCCTGTAGGTTTAATTAATAGTCAGTGGATTGTAACACTGTCCTGAAGGGGCTCATAATCAAATCACACTGAGCAGTTCTCCGGCAGGCCGCCCACTGGGGTCATAATTGATAAGCCTGTAAGGTTATGAAATTCAACAAATCCGTCACTATCCTTATAGTTACAGATGGTACACCGGGAGGTCAAGCTGTGGTTAAGGGAACAGACGTGAGTCACCACTACAGGATATATGGACCTCATGATAGCAGGTGAGTCTTGGTAACCACATGAAGACTCGTCTGTGGAGCATTTGAGTCTTTGTTGCAATAAGTTGTCCTTTAAAGCAGTCTGTCCTTTAAGACACATCTTACCTAATTCCACCATACACTTGACCTTTTACAGTTTTATATGTAACAGCTCCATGGGGAAGTACACAGCTGGGGAATAAGTGATTGACTCAGGATGGGATGTCCCAGGATTATTCTGGGGTTTTACTTCCAAATGATCACCGAGTGTCTCCCCACAAACTATGTCCAACAAGATGAACATAACCTTGCTATGCTGTTGAGGATGGTAATTCATCTCTTGTGAGTTCAGTTTCTTTGGTTTGAGGAATTACCCAGGAATTAGTGTCAATATGAAGCAAGATGAAACAACGTAGAGTGAAATAAATGACGTAGTGCAGCAACCCCTAAATGTGTGCAGCATGCTTAGAACAAATAATGATTTCCTGTCTATCAAGCTTTTGTGGAGTTTGTCACTTAGAACTGAGCAACTGATTAATTAATTAAATCACACATTGTATAAAAGCATGTTGCTAATCATCAAACCCCAAACCAAAACAACCACATAAGTAAATGTAAGTATCAAAATAAGTATATCTATGACATTCAGACACTCTGTAATATCTGCTTACATAATAAAAGCCTTCTCATTATGCAGACTAGAGCACAGCTTGGTGTATACATGGTAGTGTGCCACAATGAACGTACTGTAATAACTAAAGCAGATAAAGCAAAGCACTGCCTCCAAGGACTTTTCTGTTTCCAGGCTGTTTTGTTGGTGCATCCAACCCCATTCATTCTGATACAATAAGAGTACTCATTGCTCAGGGGCTAAAACATGGACTTTTCAACAGGGATGCTTTTTCTGTATCATGTGATTTAAATGGTTTTACTGTAATGGTTGTGCTGCAAAACAAAATAAACTAAACTGTATGAGAATGTCCTGCAGAGACTTGCCAATTATACTATTAATTGGAAAGGGTTCACTTTAGTTTACCTTTAAGAGCTCGTGTTTGTTCACATATCAGCTCTTAGTAGCTTTCAGTCAGTCAAGAGAAGCGAGTAGACTTTGGAGGAGGTTAGTTAGTACAAGGATGTGCCCAGTCATTCATCACATCAGACAGCTGTAGGATGAGGTCCTCTATATATATCAGCCCTGTGTGTGGATCTACAGGCATGTGTTATTTAAAGCCTGATCTATCATCCCTATACTACCAAATCCATAGGTTTATCAACCAGTGTCAATGTCCAGATCCATGGACATCTATCAAAGCATGTCAGGTTTGAAATGAGAAAACAAAAGACACACACACACACACACAAACGTGCCAGAGTTTAATTTTCTCTTGTGAGCACAAACACACACAATGCATACAAAGCTGCTGACTGTAAGAAAGCTTGGACAAAGCAAATCATAATACAGCACTCTTTATTCAGACATATTACTGGATAAAAATAGAAAAACTCATGAATATATTTTTCTTTGGTCAACTAAAACATAAAACAATGGTTGTAAAGTTCAAAGACGAATGTAATGTGTAAATCTTAGTGGAACACTTTAAAATGCATTTACATCATACAGTATGGAAAATGATTCATTATCATGGGAAAATGTGGCAACAGGGTCATTTCCAAGCAAACCTTGTTGTTTCCTAAATCACTTGTTGACACAATAACAAGTTACACTGGGTCTGTTGTCACTTTATGTAAACCAATGTACTCCAATCTTAAGAATTTGATCTTTATTCTGGTAAAATATAAAAAAAAATTCTTATACAGTAACAGATAGATTTAATCTGGTAAAACATAAATCTTAGTTTAATGGCTGGAATATATTTGTGCCTTGAATTAATATACACAATAAGACAAGAAGACTAAAACTATGAAGTCCTGGCCACAATGTTAACGTGTTGCATAGGACAAACACAGTGGTGATCTGTTGAGTAGTAGTGCTAGAGGAAAAGTTATATATATTATAATTTATCATTATTCACTATGTGGGGACGAAAAATATCTATACCATATTACATGGCAATCAGACTTATACCTGTTGAGAGATTTTGCCGTGGACCAGCTGTAAGGGAAACTCACCAACAGTCTCTCCCTTCACAGCTTATACATATTTATCAAGGACTTCTCTCACCTGTTGTTTGAATTCTATAATTGAGTGCACATTTTATGCTAAGTGTGGCCCTAATTTGTGGGTTTAATTTTTCACCCCAAGGCACAATGTCTCTAAGATGCACAGGGGGTTCTGTATCCCTGAATGCTTTTTCTAAAAATACAACCATGTGATGGATATTGTATTGTCAGCACACACCAGGAGCTCATCACAAAGACACACTACTTGAGCATGGTTTGACTGGAAGGGGTTGTCAAGAACTCTAATTATTAACAGACCATCTCACATCATACGCTTTTGGCCATGGATGATAAATGTCATACATATAAATCGTGATTCTCAAGGTACAATCTGGGCACAACAGATATTCATCATGAGCTCAATTACTCTTCACAAGTATGGATGTTTCTGTAGGTTAATCGAACAGTAGAGGAAAACGTTACAGTACAATCATAATGTGTTCAGTCTTCAGTGACAGAGTAGACTCACGTGGTCACACAGAATTCATTTTAAATACAGTCAACAGTAATGTACTCATTCATTCAAGTTTTCATCTTCAGCATTAACCCCTTGAAAAGCCACATACATAAAAGTAAACCAAACATATTTTAATACAGCTGAACAACGTGCAACATGAGATGGCAAAGGATCCTTAAACAATAAAGCTGCCATGGCACATATGAATGTGGTCCCACCCAAGCTTACAAAGAAGCAGTATTTGATATTTAATATATTTACAAAGGGTTAAGAGCTGTAAATACATTTCTACTTACTGATGGTGTACAGAGCATACAGTGACTGGGGGTCCAATGCACTGCAACTTGATAAAACATATGCTTCGTTATATAACTGCAAATACAAACACAAAGATATGTCTTCTCGCTTTAAGCTGCAGCACATATGACAGCAGGGACCCTGACTATACAGATCCTTATATCCTACACTATATGGTCCAAACGTCATCTTACTTGTTGTACATGTGTTTTCTGATGTAAAAGCCTGCAGGAACCACCACAGCTGAATTTTGTAGCCAATGCTGTAATGCCTTAAGGTGCACTTGGTTTAATGGTCAGTGCTAATTTGGTTACCATTTTCTGTCTAAAGACATTTACGACATCTCATTCTCTTATGTGTGCTTTATAGTGATTAAAGTCGTACTCCAATTTAGTTGTCATTGGGAGTCTTGTCAGGCTACCCGCTGTGGAAATAAACTGATGTACCTGTATAACACTGAGTTCCCCTTTAACTTGAATTACGGAACCTGCATTGATTACCAAGGTCTCTCATGCTGTCCTACTCAGCTATGTTGGTTGCTGCAACATGCGACTCCATGCCACTGCCAAATTTTCTTTCACATTTTTTGACAAAGACAGTGAGCATGGGCATTAAACTTCGTTTTAGGCTTCAAGTGTCCAGCAGGTAAAGTCACAGGCACGATGTCCATTTTTTTCCCACCGATCTTCTTGGACCTGGCCACTAGGCTGGTATGGATAGATTATACCATTGGGTAAAACAACAAAGGAAATGGCACAGGCTCCTCTTTTAGCCAGTTGGTGAACAGGTTGGTTCCATCCATTCCAAAAATAATGTAAATGTTCTATATTCGACTCCACCTGGAAATCCAAGCACTGAGTGAACCAGTGCAAGAGACTACACACACACATACTGGTGGACCCAGTTTTCTATGGATATATCGGTAGTTTATCTCTATGTTCATGTATATTTTTGCACCTTAGAGTGGATGAATATATACATGTGCAAATGAAGTCTCTGGCATAACAAAGGAGCATGACCTCAGATGTTAATCTACATATACTGTATGCGTGAGTCAGTGCGTGCAGGTGTTAGCAGGCACATCCTTTGTGCTGCCCTTCTTCACAGTTTGTGTGTTCCATCAACCTTTTCACCTGTGTTCTTCCTCTTCCTCCTCCTCCTCCTCCTCCTCCTCCTCCTCCTCCTCCTAGAGGACCTGCTCAGTGCTGGAGGCAGAGATGTCCAGGAGTCTCCAGGCTGCATTGGGGTTCAGCTCCTCCTGGTCACGACACAATGCCCAAACATACATCATCCTCATCACCTTCCCCTGTTGAGGAGGGAGGAGAGCAGAGGTCAGTCCCGAAGAGACAGTATGGATACGGTGGAGGGCTCTTCTAGAAGTTCAAAACTTAATAAACATCCTTCTGATTTGGCTTGTATGAAACACTTTCAGCAACTTAAATCCTATTGCTACATTAAACCTGTTTTTAAAGTGTAGAGTTGATCTAATTTCAGCCATTTGAGTTGTTTGCTTCCTTGAAATGACTCTGATTATATCAGATTCACTATGCTGGTGCAGTAATTATAAGTTTACTGACCGGATCTCCTTCCACAATGTCTCCTTTGGGGCTGCGGATCACCATGACAACCTGTGCCTGGAAGGTAATGATCAGCACTGGGCCCTGGTCCATCATCTTACCCATCGCTAGCTACAATGAGCAAAGAAATTACATTAGAAGAACATACTTAACAAGGGTTATTGTCATTTTCTGGAGTAAAATCATTTCTTATACACGTAAACAATACATAATGTCTGCTTTTGTGAATGTTTGTTAAGAGGGAAAACAAGGACTAAAGACAAGGAAGGAAAGAAGCAATATTACTTTAAATATATGAACACAGTAGGGTATAACACACAGCTGGTGCACACTAATGAAACACTTACATCTATGTTATCAATGTCAAGGATTTTGGACTGGAAGAGCAGCCCCAGTGCTCTGGCCTGCTGGATGGGGTGAGCCAGCTGACTGTATGTCTGTGGACAGGTAAAACACATATTTGACATGAAAATGACACAACTGAAGTAGACAGACCAACATTCATTTTTTGTGAAGGTTTCTATTTCTGAAAAGGTCATTGTGCCCATTTGTAAACAAATCAAAACACTGACAGACAGACTCAGAAAGCACTGGAGCATTAATCCCCAGAGATCCGGAGATGTTTAAGGACACAGGGAGATGGTGATGAAACACAAATACCTCCGCCTTCCATGGTGTATTTATTTAGAGTTGATTAAGTATGTAACTTATAGGCAGCAGCATTGAACTTACAGCTTCATAGCACCAGTCTTTTAATACATCCAACTCTCCACGGATCATAGCCTGCAGAAAGGACAGTGACACTGTGTTATAGATGATTGCTTACAGAGGGGATTTTCCACACATCAGCTTAGGCAGTTAATGAGTTTCAGTCAAACCTTGTCAGACACAGTTTTAAAAATAGAAACAGACCATTTTACCATACAGCCACTTGGTAAGGGCTTGTCTTGTAGCCTTAACATATCTTAATTCATTAAACCACATTCAACACCATCTGTAATTTTCATGAAACTGCATCATCCGCTCTTGTTATGGAACCGTGAAGGACGAACACATCGTTCTGAGTGTTTCCTGGCATCCTGTCATCAATAATTTCCAATTATTCTCTTTTGCTAACCAGCTTGCTTAGAATTTGCTTTAAAATCTAACAGTTCCACCCTGACTTTTATTAATTCTAACAGGAGTAGTCACAAGTTCGTTTACTGAATCTGATCTAAGCTGGTTAAAGAGTCACATTTAATGAAGCGAGTCCTCCATCAATAAGGCTTTTTCTAGCTTCCTTAGCGGAATACCTTCAGGTATTGAGCAAAGAAAAGAGTGTGAATGAAGCAGCCAGAAAGAGAGTAGGAGAAGCTGGAAGATGAGTTTGTTTACCTCCAGTATGTTAGGGATGATGTCTTTTTCACACTGTTTGAGAAAAGAGTCTTTGTCAAAGGTGGGGTCTGCCTTCACGATCTCTGTCAGCACCTCAGACATTTCTGTCTTAGAGAAAAGACCACCTAAAAAACAAACACCAAGATCACTCATTACTACAAATGGGATGTTAACAAAAATAAGTTTATATCTTATGTCTAGGCTTTAAAACAGGCTAGTCTTTTGTTGTCTGGCACTAATTTGAAGCAGATTTCTGGATGAGGTGACGATGCGAACTATCAGCAACTATGGTGACGTATTACCTAGGAAGTCAGTGACTCTGTCAGTCACAGCTCTGGACGCTCTGATGAGGGCATTGTCACTTTCATCATATTTCATCTTCATCTCAAAGAACCCTGTAGGAAACAATAGGGAAAGAACTGTGGTGAGGATAAATTGTTTGATAATGGGAGATAAAAACCTGCACCTGTGAGAGCACATGTGCCTCAGTCAAGATAAACACTTGACACCTGAACTGTATTAGTTTAATATGCAATCTACTGTAAAGAATCTGGTGCCATCTGCTGCCCCTAAAAGGAAATTACACACTGCAAACTCATCTATTATATAAACACTAATTCCACAGTATCTAGAATCCAGAGGATTTTCTTACTGTTAAAAACTACGTTATTGTCTTTGAAGTCCTTCCACTGCTGGAACCACTTTGAATCCTTGTGGAGAACGACACCCATAGCCTCTCTGCATCACAAAATACAAATAAAAAAAAAATCACTTCCATCAGTAGAGATATTTACAACAAGTGCAGTTATGGATTAATAGGCAACATACACTGTCCAAGTGAAGATATATATGCTTACAAAAGAAGGCATGAGAGGAGGAACAGGTTTCAGTTCCAAAAGTTACTCACTCATTGGCCTCGAACACAACGCTGTCAGCTCCTTTGGAGGAGAAATCGCTTCTCTTCCTCAGCTGAGAGGGAGCTCTGTAAGGGCCGGCATCACCAACATCTATCTCCTTCTTCATGGTCTCCACACTCTACAGAAATGACACACAGTTTCATTAAACGTGGGGTATATTATTTATACTGAACCATTCAGTACAGGAGGGAGGTAGCTATAGCTGGGTACTAACAACAAGGTTTATTACAAGATGCCCCTCCAGACGAACTGTCCTTTAAAGAGTGAAACCTTAAAAAACGTATGACTATTATGTTTTCAATTCTGACCTGTGAGATGGCCTTGAAAGCACCGGTTCGGCCCAGTTTTTCTCCTCCTTTGGAGACGGACTCAGCAGAGTGCATGGCTGTCCTGGCTGCCTCCTCCACGCCTTCCTTGATCTTCTTCCCAATGTCAGTACGACTCACCTCCTCAAGACCCTATGGCCAAAATGCCAATACAATGGACACACACACACACACACACACACACACACACACACACACACACACACACACACACACACACACACATAAAGACAGTTGCAATTAGTTAGTCAGTATGGTTAAACATACAATATGTCACTTTTTCAGAAACCAAGAAGACTTAACTTTATTTTTTCATTTCAGGCCATGTACTTTTTGACATTTTAATAAAATACAAAAGGGCAAAATTTATAAAATTCAACTATCCGTCACAAATATGATAACTCCAATATGACATGTCTGTACGTATTGATTCTGAGGTCATTATGGTCAGTTTTAATAAGCCAATCTGCCCCCACAAGAGCTGATACCTTACCTCCTTGACCGTGTCTGACAGGGAGCCGAAGGTCTTCTTAAACACCTCTGAAGTCTTCACTGTCTCAGCCTCTATAGTTTTCTAATGAAGGAAATAAAAAAGCAAATGTGTGCATGTCACAAAAGTACAAAATAATAAATAAAAAATAGCAACACATTTTTATTATATTACTCAAAGAGTCTAATATAAAATCACTATGGCCACAAACCAAATAATGCTCTTACATATTTCCTACGGGCTTGCTGGAGAGCATCAGACTCCTCAAGCCTCTTCGCTTCTTCTCTAAACTTCTTTATGTTGTCTTTCATCTCCTGATTCTTACTGAACTCCTGACGCAGGGTGTCCACAAACTCTCCAAGGAAACCTTTGCGTCCTGAAGCATATCGCACCTAATGACAGAAACAGGAAGGAGGACTTTAGTTGGACAGACAGATGTGAGAATAGGGTGAACAGATTATTCACATCTCAACAACTCATCGTTGTCTTCGGTCGAATCAACAATGAGTATGTGTCACTTAAAAGACGAATGGGAGTTTCTCAGTGTGTACCTGCACAGAGGGAGCTGGACTCCCACGTAACCTGTAGGCATCTCCTCTCCACGCTGAGGATACCAGAGGCCGGGAGCAGAGGGCCAAGGCACGTCTGGCAACCAGCTGCAACGGAGAGAAACTCACAGTCAGTAACAAACATCGACTCTGCCAACACTGCAGTGGGTGGAGAATGACTGACAGGTGGTTAATGGGACACTAATGAGTCATGCTCTCACAATAATGAGCAATGATTTAAAAATAGGAAAATGGCAAGAAAAACCGGGTCTTATTGCTACTTGCAAGAACTCCATTAACCATTTGTTTTGGTTCTTTCAGGGTGGTAATTAGCATATGATATAGTAATGTTAGAGACAATTGCCAGGTTACATGTAACTATTGTTTCAACATTGTTGACATAATAAAAAAAACCAAAATTACGTGTGTTGGTAAGGTGTGGTCCACCATGAGCCTTAAGAGCAGCTTCAGTGCTCCTTGACATAGATTCTCTAAGTCTCTACGGGAGGGATGATCACCATTCTTTCAAAAGATAGACCTTCATTTTCATGGTATTTTTTTAATGACAGGAGGTGGAGGGCACGGTCCAACACACTGATCCAAAATCAACTAAAAGAGTTCTTCTGAGTTAAGATCAAACCATTCAGTGATCCCTCAAGCCTGGTTGATGGGGGCATTTTCATTCATTCATTCATCCCTCCCTCTAAGGGGATAAGCAGACCAAAATCATGCCAGTGTCTCAATTCATATATTTCTCTGTGTCAGCTGTCTTTAATGGGTAGTAACATTTCACACTGTAAATTATGTGACCATAGTTGGATTTCACCTACATTGTCACTGCTAATGTTTAGCATATACTGTTTTCATGAAAGCTGTGGCCCCACAGTATTTAGAAACAACGCACATTTGAATATCAGTAGCAAAATAGTATGTGTCTGTAAAAACACCTAACCTGACGATATCTGGGTCTCTTTTCAAATAGTTGATCCTCTAGTGTCACAGAAACTGAAGGGTCACAGATTGAACCCAAATCACACATTCAATGTTAAGAGTCTAATCTAATTACTATAAGGGCGCCATGTTCGTTAACAGCTGTCTGTGTGTGATATGTGAAGTATGTGATTCATTCTGACAACCCTTCTCACAGCCAGGACAGCTAAACTCACAGCCAGATCGCAGAACCCAGTTCTCAATAAGAGCAAGAGATTATACAGCCGTTATTAGTCCTGTTATACCTGCAATGTTTTATAACATGTAGTCACAGAGAGGAGGAGTCAGTACGTGGATATATGGACGAGTATAAAACCTTATACAAAACCAAATGTTAACAGTTTCAAACCAAAGCTCACAGACATCTTCCCCGCTGCAAACCCTGAAACAAAGTGTTGATTTCAGACTGTGATATGTAAACAAGAAGATTGTTGTCAGTCTGATGCAACAAGGCCTTTTATAACGGACACCTCGCGCTCGAGCTGAATTAAAAACACCCTAATAAATCTCCCACACTTAACTGGAACCGAAAAGACTAACAACAAAGCCGTGCGCCATTATTCCCATTATCAAATTATCTGCTGGAGACTTAGGAGCTGCAGTGAAGGACATGTATGAGTGTCTAACCTCGTAGCACCGACACACGGAGGCTGCCATCTTGATCTTGAAATGCGCGGAGCAGCACGTGCATCCTTGGTGCAGCAGCTGACCTTCCGCTCGACCAATAGGAGCAGAGCTGGGGGTCTGGGGGCGGGGCCGGCTGTCAGCACGACTTTAAAGGGACAATACACCCTAAAAGGATACAGTCTCATTATCAACACTGAACCGTCTCCCTGGACGGGAAAGCAGAGCATTTAAGACTTTTAAGACAATTTATTTTATCCCTAGTTGGCAGTTTTTTTTTAAAGATGACAAATAGATTTTTAGGACATATCCAAATGGGTTTAATTTGAATGTTCAGTTAGGAGTCAGAAAATGTTCCAATATGTCCTCGGTCTTCACTATTACAGTGAGAATAATATAATTAAACAATCACAAATGTTACTGTCAGTTTCAGTTTGTTTTCATTTTATTGAGATATGGTAGTATGTCGTATGTTTGTGAGGAAATGTAGTCTATATATCTCAATATACATGGGGCATGTTCATGTGCAAACAGTTTGATTTTCATCCTGAGTTTCCAAAAGTTTCCAGTTTGTATTGTTATCGTCAAAGACAATGTTTTATAAAAACAAATGCATTGGAATAAAAAAGAACAGAAACTAAACCAAATAATCATAAATAAAGAGAGATACATAAAACATACAACATATTGAAAGACTGATATACCAAAAGTACAAAGGACATACACATCTTAGGAGTTTCATCACATATAAACAAGTTCAGTCATACATATTATGTTTTTATGAGACCATTTACATCTTATTTCGAGTAACTGCACGTTCCCTCATGCAACTTGCTCCATGATTTGAATTTTCCCTATAATTTCTTATTATAGTCTCCCGTGTAGTAGCATAACATATCTCCACCATGACTATATCCACTTGTTTATTATTTACTTCTAAAAACATGTTTTTGTTGAGATTCACTGTTTATTACTGCTGATACAACCGAGCTGAACACACTACTGTATCTGACACTAACATTTTTATTATTTAACACAAACCGTACACAGTCAGCCATTAAAAGCTTTGCCAACACTAACATTTTACACGTGAAATTAAACGTGAACTTAATTGTTGTCGCACATCCTTTGTGGCCTGACCCTGTTTGTTGTTTTCATTCACAATTAAACGGCTGTCTGACTCCAGGCTCTGAACGCTTGTCTGCAGGCATGCCAGTAAAGAGCGCCCCCCTGAGGAAGGTATGTTGAAGTGCAGGGACTCCTCCCCTCCCTCTGCAGAGTTGGGAAAGCTCTCCCCCCTTCTGCGGCCAGCTCGCCTTGACAGCCAAAACTGGCGCAGAGTCTCCCAGCACAAACCTTTCCCATATTTTTCTGGCATATAACGACAATTCATAGCCACACTTTCCACACATCTTCTTCCGGACACAAGCGTTGGAGCGGCCTCGTCTAGAATGGGGAACCGAGACGATGAATACGATTTCTTGTTCAAAGGTAAAAAAAAAAAAAAAATGGAAAAAAGATGACTGCATTCCCCCTTTCACACAGGCTCTCACCGACGAAGCTGTGCTTTATAAATGCCTGTAATGCCTTATTGTGTGGTTTTCGCTAACCAGATGTGCATTTTGTTAGGAAGCAGACTGATGTTTTTCTCAGAGGCTGTCCGGATGGTTCCTGCTTGCTGTTATTACAACATAATGCTGTCTTTGTAACATTACAACGCCTGCAGCTATATTTATAGGTATAGGATGCAACACCCCATCCGTGCTCAGCTCGTATTAAACTTTCATCAACTCGTACAGCGGCTTCAGTCGTTTGAGTGAACAGCCTCCTCATTTATTCAATGACATTTGATGTTTTTCTACTCATTCCACCTCATGAGGTTGTTTTAAAGGCCTATTAGCCTCTATTGATCAATAAGCTCCATCCTCAGATGATTGTTAGTCAGACGGCTCTCACTGAAAATGCCTTTGACTTTTTATTTTTATTATTATTATTATTATTATTATTATTATTATTATAATTAGCCTTTTTATGACAATCAATAGGCCTAATCAGTTTGTCACTGAGATTGAAGACTCAGCTCCATGTTTATCTTCAGTGCTCAGTTGGAACCAGAATGCCTTCCTTTGATCGTGCTATCAGCTCCTGTGGCACATTAACATCCTGGGCCTGTATAAGGCAAAGGGCCATTTAGATGTAACAAAGTATCCTCTGTGGGATGAATAGGGCATCTGCCGGAGGCGAGGGCTGTCTCTCTCCCTCTCTCTCTCTCTCTCTCTCTCTCTCTCCCTCACTCTCTGTGTGTCTCTCTCTGCCCGAGCCATCGTCTGTGTACCCGGCCGAAACAGGAAGGGCAAGGCGGCCTGAAACTGTCGATTCAGGTTTTGATGAAGCCCTGTTATCAGCTTCCTGCAGCCCAGGCCAGCGCGATGTCGACAGGGACAAAGTTCGGCTCTATTTCCTTTTGTCGAAGGAGAGAGAAAACAAAAGGGCTCCACCTCTGCTGCTGTGCTGTGGACAGCAGCCTCCTCAGCCCCGGTCCTGACACCGGCTCAGCACAGGACCATGAGCCTGATCAATCACTTCTGATGTCCCTTGTGTGGACAAGGAGGCCTGATAATAATCAATCCTTGTTGTTTATTCTGTGGGTGCTCAACAGTAGTGATTCAAACCCACAGCTGGTCCTCCACAGGGACTTTGTAGTTAACTTAAGGTTCTTTTTTCTGATGCTTTCAATGTTAAATCCACATATTTATACTCACAGTGTTGGTGTCCCATTCCTATAGTTGTTTTTTTTTGTTTTTTGTAGATGGTTCTTGATTTTCTGGGACTTAATGTTTTAAATGAGGGTAGGTAAACACAATTGAAGGTTAATCAGGTTAAAGCCTCCCTACCTGAGTGCTCTCAGGAAGATTTCAGCAGTTCATTTGCTGAAATATCTCCACCCTCAGGGTGTTTTAGTCGGGCTGAACTCTTGATTTGGAAGGTCAAGCATATACAGTCTATTAGAGATGCCGGGTAAAATGCAAAACCCTCATTTATTCAGTTAAGCATATTCTGCTCAGTCTTACAAACCTACCCCTCTTTTTTTGTGATTCTGCCACAACCAACTAAAGCACCTCTTTATTTAGTGGATAATCCCTCAGGCTTTAATTCTTGTTTGGGTTATTTGATGGGTGGATGATGGCATGAATTAAATAACCGTACCTCTTATTGTCTTAGGTGGTTGGTTACTAACTGACACGTTTTTTTTTTTAGCTGGTCTACCCTCTTTGTCTATGTGAGTGGTTCTCTACAGCATAGGCAGAACAGGCCAAACCTAAGAGGAAAGATGGACACTGTCACACCTACAGTTCAATATATTGTTCAATACAATTCACATGAATTATCAAACAGTTCAGTTCACACATTATTTTTGATAAATGGTGTTGAGAAACTTCTTGAAATTGATCTGAAAAAACTAATTTGTTTTATTCAAAAACTCCAAAATGATGCTGTTCATTAAGTTAGAAGCTGGTATGAAAGTAAAAAGGAAAAAAAGGCAGATTCTCTAGCACTAATGAGTAGTAATACTAAGGTTATGTACTGAGCCTTGTATTTTGCTACACTCCTTTACAGTAGAAATATGTTTTACACATCCTATTAATCACACACAAATACATGATGCCCCTGGGTTCTGTTCAAACCAGCGTTTAGAGGCAATGCTTTATGCTATATCAACATTTCTTCTGGGATCTATTAATATATTTAGCCCGTCCCCTCGCCTCTCCAATCACACATTCAGCATACAAACACACTTGTCTCATCCTCTCTCCTTCTCTTTCCCTCCACAGTTGTGTTAATCGGGGACTCAGGCGTAGGGAAGAGCAACCTGCTCTCTCGATTCACGCGAAATGAGTTCAACCTAGAGAGTAAGAGCACTATCGGGGTGGAATTTGCCACACGCAGCATTCAGGTGGACGGCAAGACGATAAAGGCGCAGATCTGGGACACAGCAGGACAGGAGCGCTACAGAGCCATAACCTCAGCGTGAGTCCATTTCTGTGTGGTGCAGATAGCCCTGCTTGTTACCTGAAACCCCTCATTGAGGGGGAATAATTCAGCTGTGCACTCACAATTGACATTTTATATTGAATTCACTTTAAATGAGGCCGACTTGGATATTTTCCACAACATTTAGTTAAAGGGGTAGATGGCACTTTCAGTCAGTGGTTAGCATTGGTGCTTGTCAAAAGGACTTCAGCTAGTGGGTTTAATCTTCTCGAGTTAGACACAGAACCCCGGGCAGCCCTCTCTCAATGTCCTGTTTATACAGAAGTGCATCTGAGAAATGTCAAACATGTTCAATGTATATTTAGAGTATCTGCATGTTTCAGAAAGCATATATAGCCTATATCTCACATAGAATTGAATTTAAGACCAATTTAAACACCAAAATATGGTACAATATGAGCCTATTTCAACTCAGCTTCAAAGATGTATGTTGGCTGAATGAGACACTGGTATTCTCATTGTTAACATGATACATGACATCCAGCAGTGTTTAATAAAGTAGGCAGAAGTCAGAGTGTAGTAACTACTGTATGTTCTGGATTAGTCAGTTTACAAACAACAGAATATGAAATGAATTAATGAAAAATAACAGGACCAGAAAACAGTAGACCACCCTGACATTCCCTGTCATCACTGCTACAGGTACTACAGAGGAGCGGTGGGGGCGCTCTTAGTGTATGACATAGCCAAACACCTGACCTATGAGAATGTGGAGCGCTGGCTGAAGGAGCTCAGGGACCACGCCGACAACAACATCGTCATCATGCTGGTCGGCAACAAGAGCGACCTGCGCCACCTCAGGGCCGTGCCCACAGACGAGGCCCGGGCATTCGCAGGTATTTTAGAATTAGGGATATTAGTTTAATTAATTAATTTAATTTATAGCCTTTTTTGTATTGTTTGTAGTTTTTTTTACTATTTGATATTTATTAGAATATGTGTCCAGTTGCTTGTGCTGCTGTAATTCAACTTCCTCATAGAAACTCTAACTGTGTTGTTTGTTTTCCTCAGTGGTAAGAAAAGACCCCAATAGACAACAATAAGTCTTCTACTCTTTCCATTATTATATATAAAGTCGCTGGATGTTTCTAATAAATAGTAAGCTTCTATTATTGTTAAATGTATGTTTTCTTTCTTACCCCTCAGAGAAGAACAATCTGTCATTCATAGAAACTTCAGCCCTGGACTCAACAAACGTTGAAGAAGCCTTTAAGAATATCCTTACAGGTAGGGATATCAGAGCTACACTGTTGATAAATAATGAAAGTACTTTTTTATTAATCTTTGGTCTAATAACCACTTTGTGTGATATTAGAAAGGAGAGAATTAACATTAATAGAGAAACAGAGACAAACAGTACTTTCTGGTAACTAATCGCTTCAACGTTACTTGTGTAACTTCCTCTAACTGTGGGAAGTTCTTTTTATTTGTCTTCTGTAAAATTCTAACTGAAATATCAACTTGTAAAATATCTCACCTCTGGGTTTCAGTATAATTGTGGGTGTTTCTCTAACATGTCTGTTCTGATGTGTGAGGGCGATGCATAGCTGCAACCTCACATCAACCAGGTTGTTTCAGTGTCATAGGTTCCTAATGTAGGTTAGAAAGGTGATCCTGAATCTTTGCTAGTCCACCTAAAACAACTAAAGAATTTCAGGGGGGAAATGGCTGATTTGTTTCTTCTCCATCTTTAAAAAAACAGAAATCTACCGCATCGTCTCTCAGAAACAAATTGCTGAGCGGTCTGCCCATGACGAGTCCCCGGGAAACAACGTGGTGGACATCAGCGTGCCACCCACCACGGACGGCCAGAGGGGGAGCAAACTGCAGTGCTGTCAGAACCTGTAACCCATGGAAACCCCCCCCCTCCACCTGGGTCAATTATTAATTGAAATCCACAGCGTTGGTGTGCTTCCATCCGCCTGGGGTGCAATATTGTCTGAATCTGCACTTTTTAGATGAATGGAGTCAATTCTGTTTATGCCACAAATGCTCAATCCCAGAATGAAGTGTTTGAATTGATTTCAAATTGTAATCTGACCCAGGTACAATCTGCTACATCCCAGTGCAAAAACAGGACTGATGGTACCACGCAAGTAGCTACCACAGTTACCCATGATAGTGTAGCAGAAAAGCTTTGCCTGAGACCTTGTAAGCCTAGACATCTCCCTGGTAGATTGTTATCGCCACATGTTGGAGGCCTGGGGTTTGAATCCTGCCTGTTTCAGTCGTACCAGCAGTCCTGTTTTTGAGCTTTCCTCCTCCTTGTTCAGTCATCATCTCAAAAGTGGTTGTGACGCTGCTGATGCTTATTGCATTTTGTGTAAAATATCTTTTTTTTGTTTTGATTTTGATAGCTTGTCTGCTCACATACATTATATTAATGCCATGAAATTAAATTTTACAATATTATGTTGTGATGTCCTCTTTTTTAGCAACACATACATACAGTTACATACTAAACCTGCACGGTGACCTTAACTCTGAACCAAATTATCTATTTTACTGTTGTTTCAGGTCTAAGTGGAGCTAGTTGTATTTATATAGTTAGTATAATATAGTTATAGTTATATATAGATATGTATCTCTTTAGGTCGAGTTGCTCCAGATCCTAGGGGTCAAGCCCCTCCAAAGGGTCAGAAGATGGCTTAGGGGGAGTTGTGCGCTGATCACTGGGGTAGGAGAGAAGGAAAAAAATTATGCTGCACCCATTTGTATAAATATCTATCGGGAAACCATTCTTTGGTGGAGCTGGTAACAATGACAGTGGTCCCAACCGGACACTACTATTCCTACAAGGTGCTACAAGCCAAAAATGATGGGAACCAGCAATGTATTGTATTTTATAAATGTGGATGTTTTTATGTAGAATCTTAATCTGGAAAGTAACTAGTGGACTTTTTCTCTGAAATGTAGTGGAGTAGAAGTATAAAACAGACCTAAAGTACCTGAAATTGTACTTAAGTACAGTACTTTAGTAAATGTCATATTCATAGTATACACTGCGACTGTCCTACAAATAATGAATGTTAATCAGCTTAAATATATTAAATGCAAACATTAACATTTAAACAAGATCATGAAATCTCAGGGCATTACCCTCATAGTGACTGATCATGAGATATATTTCCAAAGACCACATGAAGATCATTAGAGGCTGAAATGCCATAGAGCAGCAGATAAGTCACATTTGACATTGATTTAGTCCAGGAGTCCCTCGTGTTTTATTGCACAATAACCCAACTTTCCAGGGGATGCAGCAGGAAGACTACAATAACACAAAATACTTTGTTTAGCATATGCCGCATACATTGATTGACATCTTAGAACACATTTCTCTTTTGTACCCACACTGAGTACCAGCCTGCTCTGATACATCACTTGTGTTTTTATATAGGACAAAAGTCTTGTAATCTCACTATTCAGAACACTGGATCTCTTCTATTTAAAACTGCATCTCTTGTGATGTGGGACATAACTACTGGTCATTGCTAGGCAGCTCAATTAATGAATGGTGCATTTACAAGTGGAGCAGGGCCGTCTGCTAATGCACTTTTATGACAATAGTAGAAACGTCATCCAATTAGAATGTTAACACTTTTCCACAGCTTCAATACTATTTCCTCATACATTACTGCACTGCCGTTTAACGGCTGCAGTTAGTGTTTTCCCATATGCTACAATCTTCACTGACCCCGTGACAAGTGTGATAAATATGTGATGCCTTAGCTGTTGTCTAAACAGGAAAAGGATTTCATTTCCACAGTTCAGACAGCAATGACAAAGCGTTATCAGGTAACTTTTAAAGGGTTCCGATTATAGACAGGACCGTTGGTATGAGCGCCTGCCGCCCTTTAACTCGACAAGAATGAATATTCACAGATAAACTTTGTCAATCATGTTTTTAGATTATTATCCTCTGCTGGGCTACTGGCTGCCCATTGTTCAAAAACAGGTAAATACATTGTGATGGGGCATATGGGGGAATTATAGGTAGTGAATATGTTTCATATTATACTGTAGTAGCATGCTGAATCAGTTATATCCTGCTACATTAGCTTGTGTCTTAGTATTTCATAAGTTTGTGTCACGGACACACAGTTGGGCTGGTTAGTCCATTGTCCATGTGTTCATGTGGTTCACATCCCAGCGCTGGCTGTCCGGTGACAACTCTGTGTTTCAACATCAACTATGACTCCGGAATGAGTTCTTTCCAAAACCACTTTTTGTGGTTGGCCAATACCGTAGTAGTTTTACATCAAGTGCTTCAAAAAAAGAAAACAGAAGGAGAAAGTAGCTCTCCCCTTTCAGAATGGTCCATATGAAGTGCAAAAGTTCATTAATATGATTAATTTTAGTTTTTTTATAGAGTGCTGCTGTGGGCGTTATTTTAAATATTCCTTTTTGGCGCCACTCTGCACTCATACGATGGTCTCATCAGTCATTTTCTTGGTCGACTTGGTCGGCACAGAGCGTTGGGTGGTGTGCGCCCCTTTCATGTCAGGCATGAGCAGGCGTACTTTCTGATTGGTCCTCCTCCACTCCGAGTACAACTGACAGTGATACCGAAATGACACCTGAGAATGGATGAAAGAGGAGTGGGAGGGAGCAAGACGGGGTGACAACGGAGGAAGAAGATAGACATCAATACAACTGACAGCAAGATATTTGAGACAGAGTAGTATGTATGCAGGACAGGAACAATATGCTGACTGCTGCTGCTGTACAACAGGCACTCACACGCTGTGAGCTGAAGGGATAATATTTGTGATTTTGAATGATTCTTTTGCTGAAGATTAAAGGATTAGGTTTCTGAAGAAGGGTTCAAATTCACAATACATCCTATTTTTAAAGAATAGGATCCAGTTAAAGAAAAGCAGCTTATTCTTACTTAAAAGTAAAATCCAGCTTATTCTTAGTATTCTCAATGAGTTATGCATGTATGTGTATGCATGAACTATCTGGCCAACTTTCAGACAAGTGAGTGCTCTGTGCCAGAGATGATCAAGTTGCACATGCCCTCACATCTCTCTACTGTTTAACTTTGTCTAAGTGTTACTCAAGGTTATATCAGAAAACAGCGACATAAGTTCTACAATAATAATCAACAGCCGAACATAAATCTGTGGGTTTGGTAGTCTTTGTGTTGTGTCTGTGCCAGTTCACATTTGTTTTCCAAATGTGGGACACCAAGATGTTAAAACCAACTTGTGGGTGTGAAGATGCCAGAGAGAAAAAGATTCACTCTGTGACACCAAGTTAACAGAAATACCTAAACGTGCTTTACAAACATGTTTTGCTCAACTACAGGAGAACAATTTAGGTATTACGTTAGTTACCAGTGTCCAGAGGATGTAGATGGTGAACAGGGCAATGGTGAGGGCGATGAGGCCAACAGCCTCGAGTCTGCTCTTCAGTTGCAGGTGGTCCTGGGCGCCCCTGAGACACAGCCAGCCGGAGATGGCTGCCAGGGGCGTGATGAGAAGGAAGCAGGCCATGTCGCACAGCAGCGTGCGCTTCTCACTGCGAGGGCCTGGGTCCTTCAGCCACTGGGAAAGAGCAAAATGACGAGGCCATTGGTCCAACTGAAAATGTGCTTTCTACAGTACGATCTAAGAGTGTTACTTTGAGAATGAAAAAGGTGCAACATTCCTGCATAACTAATAGAAATACATTTATGTTACTGAAAACTAGTCCTATGAATAGAGCTCTTATTACAAGGTCAGGCAACCATTTAATCAATACGAGCAAATCGTCTAGAAGATGCTGCCTGTTGGCACAAACTCTAAGTGAAAAAATTTAAAAATAATATTCATCTCAGAGACAAAAATACTTCACATATCACTCCAAGGCCAAAAGATAAAATAGTCTCTCTTGCTTTAGACAAAGTATTCTTGCTCATTTCTACTTCTTTTTGTACACACAAAAATGACAGTCAAAGCATTTAATCTTGCAGGTAAAAACATCTAACCTGTGTGAGTGGTTGCGGTCGTCGTTCAATAGTGAATTCTGTGTGACAGAGTTCACAGTAGCTGGTGTTAGAGGAGGACAGCCACTTCTCCAAGCAGCTCTTGTGCACTTTACCTAGCGTACCAGTGCAGTCGCAGGGTGAGAGCAGTGTCTCCCCTCCAGCTCCTTCGTGACAAATTCGACACATGCCCACATCACTGTGGAGCCAAGTAGAGAAGACAACAATGTGATGATGTAACAAAGTACAGTATAATTACAGTGTATTCATGAGGGCCCCATGTGATTTCCTCCCTCTCTTACCTCTGCAAGCTCACCGCTTTGACAACAGTGGAGAGTGGGCGGCCATCTTTAGCGGTAACCTTGGCAATGTACTGGGCCTGTGCCGTAGAATCAGACTCCTCCGAATCCTTGGAGGCATCAGATTCGGCGTTCCCAGAGTAGTCACAAAGGGAGCCGGGTAGGTGGCAGCACCCTGACGAAGACATGGCTCAGCTGAGGGTGACAGTGACTAAGATGATGGTGGAGGCGACTTCAGGAGGTCTGATCCAAAACCTAGTCCAGGTCTTCTCCTCCCCTCCTCTGTCCACCTACAGGGCAAATGCCTGGTGGATTATGACCAGGAGATGAACAAAAAAAAGTATGGGTGACGTGAAATAATAAAGTAAGTACAACATGATGTTATTCTTGCACACCACTCATAATATTCTTTATATGTGTCAGTGATGCCATGTTGATAGAAAAGAGGGCAACATTCTCAAGAGGTGAACTAAGTGAGGTCTAAAAAAATGCTGGAAAAAACTGCTTGTTGGAAATAAACAAGACACACAACCTCCAAAACATTATCTAAGCAAGGCACAAAAATGCAAAAACAAATCCCTATTTACCATCAGCACAAAGGCATGTTGTGAAACCAAGTTGAGCTTTGACTGTGAAGCCATGAAAAATGCTTTAATGTTTAAGGTATTTTCCTTAATATAAGTAATGAATACCTTTCATGGCACACAAGGGTGATATGGCTTCAACAGAAATTAGAAATACTTTATTGATCCCCGGGGGGAATTTGTTTCATTACAGCTGCTCAAGGTGCTCACAAGACATTAAAGAAATATATAATAATAAGAAGAAGAAGTAGAAGAAGAATGTTTAAATTGGTATTATATTACAATACCTAACAAGAATATATAGAAAATAGCAAAATATAATAAGAGTCTGAAATATGTACATTCTAATAATACAGTATATAGAAGATAAAAACACATGTATGCTACAATATATGACAGAAGTGTAATGAATAATGAATCAATAGTAATAATAGTTGAATCCTTAAATAAATACAGAATGCAGCACATTACTGTGCAGTTTTAAGTTGAAATGTAGACTAACCCTTGGGAACAGGAGGGGGTTCAGGTGTTTGAGGAACGAGCTGTGTACCTCTATCAGTCCCTCCAGACTAATACTGTCACCAATATGCTCTCCCTGAAAAGGACGCGTTATAATAACAATAGTAATACACAAGCATGGACACATATCTCTGTGTTTACAGCTCCGGGCGATAAAGCCAAATAAACCAAACTAGCGTTAATGTCATTGCGATTTAATACCTTTTCAAAATGACGGGCTGCTTAGCTCTGTTTTCATCCTATTACACGCCAAGAAAATAAAGCCTGTCAAGAGTAAAGTGTCCGACTGGGTGAGCACTGTCCACTTTTATTCGAGGATCAACTAACAGTTAAAATGTCACAGGTAATTTCGGCCGATATGTAACGTTACATGGTTGATACAGTGTCGTTAATGTACAAGCGCCAACAGAAGCAAAACCTATCTCAGTACAACAAAACCATGACAAGTAGCCGACCAGCTGCCAACCAACAAGCTGATGTGTGATGTTGAGATGTAGAAAAGCTAGTAGACATTGTGGAAAAACAAGACGTTAGCGTAAATGTACTCACCCGACGGCCTCCCTTTTCTCGCTTGGCCTTGGCCTTGGCCCTCCGTCAACCAGACACAGGCGAGCCGAGCTAACTGGACAGCCTTAGCTACAAACTATGACATTGACATCTAACCAAAAGCTGGCGATATGATGGGATGTAAAACAAGACCGCATGCGCTGCATCCTCCCCATGGCGTGCAGTGTATGTCCCTCGGGTGATCCCGTTTGGAAAGGTGGGAAGAAACGGTTGTTTCTGCCAGGATTACTAGACACAGCTAACGTGGCTAACAGGCTAGCAACGGGCAAGCCTACCTCAGCATCCCTCAGCTGTGCTCTGGTCATGTGACACAATGCTGCCTTCACTGTCATTTGTGATATTCAGTGGTAGTAAGATATAGTGGCTCTGGTGATAATGTATTAATGGACACTTAACACACATATCAGAGTGGCAAATACGACTAGCATGTTTGTATAACTACTAATAATTTTCTGTTGCTAAACGTGCTGTTAAGAACGTCGGTAAACATTGAAGTCCCGGAAAATCGATTAAAAAAAAGAAAGTAATGCATGTTATCACTTATTTGTCCAATGGTTGCATTCAAACATCAGTTAGCTCATGAACAGGAATCTAAAACAACGCAGGCATAAAAAAGGACCACTTCTGTGTACATTTTCGTCTACTTATAACGTTTTGATGTCTAGGATCAATAACACAAATAGCGCTTCCGACCGTTGTAACAATAATCTACGAGGAGCCGTGAATGCAGCGCACAGTACAAACAATGCCAACGAAAACGTGTAACGTAATCATGTCTGTTTGGAGATGCAGTGGCTCACATGTTTCAATCTCTCTTTCCTGACAATGTGATATGAGTTTGATTTCAACACGGAGTCGACTGTTATCCTCCATCGATTAAACATCTGTAGGAAGTTATGTCAAAATGAAACCGCTAGGCGGCAGCATTTAGTCAACCTTCTCGGAGTGTAGCAGAGGTTGGGATGGTTTCTTCCACAGGTGAGATCCATAGACCTTCAGGTGTGCGAGGCAGCTGTTTGAGGAGTTCTTTGAAACTTTTTAAATGTGCAGTAAATATATATTTTGGTTGAACATTTTGAGGAACTTCTCGTTTAAGTGGTGGAAAATAAGTGCATAAATTCATGTACTGTACAAATCAGAGGTACTTTTACTTGATCAACCTACTTCCATTTTATCCAAATTTATACTTCCACTCCACTGGATTTCAGATGTAAATATTGTACCTCGTAAATGAAAATTAACTGAAAACCTACTCTATAATGAGCACATGCATTCCTGTACAGTAGTACTATTATGTATTAATAGTATTATTTCGTTGATAATACATTTCTACTTATACTGTATTAGCTGATCTGAAAATTTAATCTATGATCCACCTCTGGGTTGCAGGTGTAATTGCTTGTTTGGCTGGCATTAATGATTTTTACTTTATTTTTATTTTTGGTCAGACAAACCATATATTATTGTAAAGCAGGTCACTGGTAATCAAACATTACGCCACTGATGTTCTGTATGCTGCATGCCTGATACTGTGCTGCTCCCATTCTGCACTGTACAAACACAACTGATGATCAGAAAATACAAGTATTCTCAAAGGGTTGCTACTTACTGACTTTGAACTTTGCTGAGTTTTGATGAGTCAGGTCAATGACTTTTCTAAAAAGAAAGAACACCAAAAAGCAAACAGTGACTTTAGAGCTATAGATTTTGATAACTCCCCTTGACCTGATCTTGACTAACTAATGCAAAGCTTATACAGATCTGTTTTGGTCAGTGCACCAGTCATGCTTTTGTTCTGCTACTTTTGGACCAAAAGTGAGTATTTTGTTTTGTTAATTATGCAGAAACAATCAAGACCATGATCCTTGGGAGACATTTAAAATGTACCCCGTCATGGATTCTGAAATGTCCCTTTAGTGTGACCTAAAATAGTTACCTTCACATGTAATTTTTAACCATTAGTTAAACAATATCTATTTTTGTCATGGCCCTGCCCTACCTTCTCTCCTGCCTCTTCCATTTCATTCCCTTTGGACCCAAACACTGATAAAGAAGGGGTCCACTTCTGGTGAATGTGATCTGGATGTTACTGACACACACACACACACACACACACACACACACACACACACACACACACACACACACCTCAGAGCGTGTTTCTCATTAGTTATCCTACCCATCTGTTTGGTCAAAGTCCAACAGAAATCATGAGACACTACGTTTCTGCATGTGTGGAATATCATGAGACATGTGTTAGTGGACTTTAACACTGGCAGACACAAAAACGTGTACTCAACTCAATATGCACATCACCCTTTTTATGTCTGACATTTTAAGTCCTGTTTATTTATGCTTTAGACTGTGTTTGTACATTGAGAGCAATGTAAAACTGGAGTCAAATTCCTTTTTCAATAAGTTGTAAGAATGCATTTGTCCGAATATAGTTCCCATTGTTTAACTTTTTACTGACTTACTGTCAGTGCATCATGATTCCAGTCTGCTGCTGCAGGCATTTCCCCTTATCATGATACCTGAGAATGACCTGACTCAGATTAGAGGAGCCTGCTTCATCTGTATTGACTCTGTAAATGTGCTATATACACATTACGTCAGCTGATGGGTCAGGCACAGAAACCTATATCTTTAATGTCACGTGTGCAGGGTTGCTCCCAATGATAAATTCAAATCTGTAAAGAAAAATCATATGCAATAATTTATCTGCACTAGAGACTGAAAGAGAGTGAGACAGCCACTGACTTAAGGGGCAGACAGATGAGAGACAGCTATAGAGAGACAGATTGCAAAACTTATTAACAGCGTTTGGCTTTCAATAACAGTATAATTTAATTGCTGCAGTTCCATCTTGTGATCCTTTAAACTGTCAGCAGGAGTCCTCATGAGCACCAGTGGAAGACAATAATTCAGTTTCTCTTATTTTCGGCACTCTTGTCCTTGTGAGAAGGACACTAATTTGACCGTGCTGCCTGTCTCACACTACAAATCTATGCAGTGACCCTTTGACACCCTCCAGCTATTTCATGACAGTCAGTTTGAGATATTGTTCTGGACATATTGTGTCAGGGTTGACAGGTCTTGGATCACTTCATTTTCTTAGTCCCCATCTTCTCAAAAATAGGTTTTTCTTTGTGTTCCTGGTTCAGTATGCAACAGTGTGATGCAGAAACCTGAATCCGCCAGTGCACAGGGACTTTACAGTGAAAAAGGAGACATCTTGTGTCCAGCAGGAAAACTTCAGAAATGAACAAAATGTGCATATTGATAGAAATATTTAATGAGTTAGAAGGAGTAGAGGCCCTATTAAGGATTTTAATGTGGAAATCAAACACATTTTATTGTTCCAAGCAGATTATTTATATGTGTCTTAATGCATGTCTGGAGGAGGTCTTAATATAATCGTTGGGAAATATACACTGTAAATAACTCTATTGTTTGTCTTAAGTTTCCCATCCACTGAAGAACCAATCAAAACTGTATTGAAATTTCATAGAATTTCTCCCAGGGCCATTCTGAGTATTGCCTTGTGTTTATTTATCCATCAGAGTGTTTATTTTTGATGTTTTGGACTTTCACCTTGTACTGGTTATATTGATTTAAAGATACGAATGGTCTTGCAGCAAAGAATAAATAAATAAATACATGAAGCTGTTTTAATCATAACATTTTAAAATCTGATTGTACATACAGTAGGGGTAATCCATATGAGACCATTCTGTGAACTCTACCTCTGTTTGTCACGTGGAGGTACTGAAAAAGACTGATTTGTTCTTGAAAAATGCCTTTTTTATTTTAAAGTGCATGTAATAAAATATCATCATAAATAACAGCATATCTTAATAAAAGAACTAACCTCCAAAAAATGTGGAGTCACTTAGTATGCAAGTATGCATCCAAACAATTCTTAATGATCCGACCAAAGATTTGATGTTAGTCACATAAATTAGGTTTTAGTTAATCAATTGATTTTGATAATGAATTGTTTTTATTGTTCATCAGCTGTTTTGACAGGTAATGTAATAGTTTGCTTTAGTGGAAGAAAAGCGAGTAAATTCAGTGGAAAGTGGAAACATTTGTACAGAGAAGATGTATTCAATTTATTTTAACTTTATTATAGATAATGATAAATATAGACACATATAATAGATAAAAAATAAGTTTGGAGAAATGCTGCATATGACTGTAATTTAATAGTTTTAAGTTCAGATTTACTGAATGGACTTAATTTATCTAAGTTACCTTAACAAACACTTCAGTTATTTGCACTTAAATAAAATATTTCTTTCATGCTTAAACTGTTTCAGCTGAACTAACTCATCAGGGTTTACAGTTCTGAACTCTGTACAGTCTTGTTGGTGTCCAATATAGTCTATTAATTATTTTAAGAGTTCAAGTGACATTTATTTTGCGTTACATAAAATTATTTTCCAGTCCATGGATCAATATCAGTATCAATAAAAGTCTGATTTAGACCTGAGTCCTTTCCCTATTGTGATATTATCATTGAACAGTATTTTTCTTTAAGGAGTTTAAACTCAATAAATTGAAAAAATGGTCAATAAAGATTCTTCCAGAAATTATCATGTGGAAGGTCTTAGTTTTATGAAACTTTTCAATGTGTTTCCCTCAGGTCCTTCAGAGACAGAATACCCTTTTCTTCCCACAGCATCCAAAGAAAATGTTGTTGTTTATAAAAACATCAGGCAGCATTTCTCTTTTTCTGTTATAGAAAACACAAGGATGGAAATTAAAGATGATCAGAAACAAAAAAAAATTTACTTTCATTAAGAAGTGCACTTGAATGTTAATGTTTTTTTTAAACACCTTTACTGAGAGCATTAAGGGCTTTAATGAGAGCAGACATGTTTATGCATACAAAATATGGTCAGGAATATATTCCTGTGACATCTTTATTAAAAGGGAAAATCCCTTTAATGTATTGCATAACAACAAGAGGCACACCATTACCTTTTATCTGACAGAAAATCACTCTTTCAGCATCCATCCTAAATCTCTGAGTCATGAGATGTACATAACCTCTCTAATGCAGGACGTAACATCATTAGTTTTCACTTTACAAATGTGAACAGTGAAACCACGCACATGACTCCAACTTGTCATACTGTGCTCCCAATTACAAAACTGGTTCTGCTCCATTATTGAATCACCAACTGACTATTCTGAGTGTAGTCAGCTGATCTTGTTGAATTTTTCAGAAATAAAAAATCCAGTTTTGGGGAAGTCTTATAGGTAAAAAAGAATAAAACTGCATGTTCTCTGTCATGCTATTAAGTGCTATTAAAGTGCACATGATAGCACTTGACTAAATGCTGATTGCTGAGGTGACCTGCTGCCAATATTATGAGGCTATGAACATACTAAGAACCGTTCTACTAGACACTGTCCGTTTTAATCTCTAATTCAAGTCTGCATGTCATTTCAACGCTTGTCAGAAACAGATCAAATATTAAAGCTACTATTTAAAGAGTCTGGTGCTTGAGTTTAGCCAAAGAGACAACGGTAAAAGGTAAAAGTTAAAGGTCTTGTATGTAGGATTTAGTGGCCTCTTGCAGATTGCAACTCCCTCGCTTCACTTTCCCCTTCCAAACGCAAAGGAGAAACTAAGGTGGCCACGTAATGTGCGAAATGGCCCTGTCTAGAGCCGGTATCTGGTTTGTCTGTCCTGGGCTACGGTAGAAACATGGCGGCCTCCAAAAGAGAAGGCGACCCGCTGCACCTGTAGATATAAACGGCTCATTCCAAGGTATACAAAAACACATCACATTCTTATTTTCAGGTGATTAGACACAAATGAAAACACAGCGATGACCAATAGATCCTCCTAAATGTGACACACTGGACCTTTAAGGGAGTTTGTTTGCTCTGGCTAAAGATGGTTTTTCTTTGGCATGTGAGAGACAAGATAAAGTCCTTCAACCTTCACCTTCACATAAGACAGCTCTGATTCATTCAGGGTTGAGCATGTGAACAGTGCATGATCAGGGCGGAGAGCTCGTGACGTCACGCGCCAGGCTGACCAATAGCAGCGCCGCTCTCCAGCCTATGATTGTACAGTAAATACTATGAGCCCTGCCTCCTTCGCTCTGGCTGCAGCGATGAAAGCAGAAGGGTTAACCGAGACAAACCCGCGGATGTGCCATAAAACCGCCTGTTATCGCTGAGATATCCTTCTGTGCCACGAAGTTCACCTGCTGGGCTCGCAGCTCTCCCGTGGTGTAGTCGAAGATAAGAAGCTCTGTGTTAAAGGGGAACCTGAGCAAGCTGAGAGCCACATAAGAGGGGGGCGGGGGGCTGTTCGTCGGCCCGCTGCAGTCTGAATCACCGGAGACTCCCACCGCTGGTTCATCATCGACGTCGTTTGCCCAGTGTACGTGCGCATCCTCTCGGAGGAAGAAAGCATCGGGAGCCCGAGCCCGTGTTTGACCCTCTGCTGCAGCCCCGAGGTGCGCTGCTTGGCAGAGCATGCTAAATAATGAGCCAAAGGGACACACTGGTTCATTTGTTCGCCGGAGGGTAAGTCAGACGACAGATTTTTATGTAGATATTGGGTTTATTTTTAAATGAACGTGTTCAGCGTTTGAGTATGACTTTGTTTTATCTAGCTAGCTAACAAGGGCCGTTTTATGTGCTACAACTCTGGCCTTGCCCCCGTCGCCAAGTGCTTGCTCATGGTGGTGCTGCTGGGTCTCTGTAAATGTGATGAGGAGTTCCGTCTAGACCTGCTCTATTTGAAAAGTGTCCTGTGATAACTTCTGTTATGAATTGTCGCTATACAAATAAAATTGAGTTGAATTGAATTGAATTGAATTGGCAGCTGTGCGCACTTCCGTCACGTCAGGGTCCAAATCCTCGGTTCACACTTCCTGTCAACACTTCAAAATATGTCCATCTATGCTGCAAAATGTGAACACAAATGTGACATACACGGCGAGGATGTGACTTCAGGGATCGTCCGAGTATTTCCGCTTATTTAAAATCAGTTTTGCCTGCAAAAAAGACTCATTATAATCTACTGACAAGGTTTTAGGCTTATATTTTGGAGGAGAAATGACATTTATTTCCGGGATCGTTGCTGCTCTCTCTCGATAACTTGATGAAGTTCTGCAGCAGCAGTGCTACTCATTTGCCTCAGATATTTTGCATTATAAGAACAGGAGAGAGGAATTAGATGAACAAAATGAAATGCCATTGACATGTTTGTGTATGTGGAGACAATAGTGTCATCTAACCCTATATATTTCGTTTCTTTATTGATGGATAGGCCTATTAACAACCGTTGAAATCCCAACTCCTGTGACTAAATCTATGTCTCTTTAGGGGGTTTCCACACTTTGTATTTTAAGGATCCCAAGGTGCAGAAGATGACCTTTACCCTGCAAACGTCTGATTCAATTAATTCCCGAAAACTTAATCATCTGCTGTATTGCCTAACTGCCCACACAGTAACTTAAGCTGTAAAGGAACTTTAGAAACACAGCACAAGTATAAGTATAAGTGGTGTTTCTGCAGCTACTGCTTTAGGTTAAACTGGGCGCCCATACAGTAGGTGAGGAACGATTGTCATTCACAATTCTGTAGACAGGCTCAACAACTTGTTCCTCAAAGAGAATGTAAACACAGACACTTTTTAACAAAGTACGTCTGTCTTGTCTTTCAATCCATTGTCTTCAGTTTCTGTGTGTGTGTGTGTGTTTACTTGTGTTGTGTGTGTTTACCTTTACTTTCATCTCTGCACCAAACCATTGACATTTAAATATGTTAATCTCGTCACACCACAATTCTTCTGTGATCTCTCGTCAGGGATTTAAAATGTGAGAACAACACAAGGAGACATTGTTATCTTGAATAATAATAAGCTAAATCAGATTTGATCTCTCCAAAAACCTGAGCTGGAGGCCTCTGCACAGTGCTTCCTCTCACAGCCACAGAGACACACACAGGCAGCAGACAGTTTAGCCCTGAAAGTAGGCCAAGGGTCACCGCTGCTTGTGAGCATGAATGTGGGTCGGTCTTTTGAAAGGTAAATATAGCTGGAGCTACTCTAAAGAGACAGCAGCTAGAGGAATTCACTGCCAACAGCCAGGGACTGTAGGGCTACAACTAGTGTTCACCCAACCTATAAAGCATTCATATGGTTTGTCACTGCAATAGTCAACAAGCACTTTCCAGCTTTGTGGTGTCTGATTGTGAAGCTCTGTCTATACAAGTCCCATTGTGGAGTAAAGTAGAGAGGATCAACAAGCGTGCATGTGTAGCACGGGGACAGAACATTGGTTTGAGATGGTGTCTGGTAGCCATTGGCTTATAGAAATAAAGTACTATTTTATTCCATATCAGTGAAACAGATAAATACACTGACATTTATCTGAGATTGATGCGTTATGTTTTCGGTAATGAGGGTGAAACTGATTTCAAGTAGATTGGCTTTACTTTGTTTACATGCTGATGGCTTCAGTCGGGGCGGAGGTCAAAGTCTAAGCAACATGATCAAGGAGTTTCTTAGGTTCGTTTGTAAGCAGTCTTGTTTTTATTCACTGTGTGGGAGTTCAGAGAGCCAGCTGAACAACAGTCTCAATTTTCATGACACCTCATACTCGCCTTCTCAGATGGCGAAAGTCAGCAAAATGGTTACAGTTGCACTGAAGCGCCGTCACTTTCCACTGAACTGTGTGATGAAACCAGTCATGAACTCTTTGCCGGGAGCTTACACATTGCTGAATTGCGCATATCACAATGCCAGGTCATGGTGGATGAAGGCCTGCTCTGAGATCATTTTAGAGCTAAAAGGAATAATAGATTGTGTTACCAGTGATAGGGGAGGTCAGTATTAGAGGATGGTTCAAAAAAGAAATTGGCAGAGGAAATTGACATAGTAGTAGTAGTAGTAGTAGTAGTAGTAGTAGTAGTAGTAGTAGTAATAATAATAATGATAATAAGTTATTGTATTTATATAATGTTTTTTAAGATACTTGAAGACACTTTATGTGACAAATTCAGTGAACAAAAAAGAACATCGAAAACCAAAACACAGTACAAATGCTGTATAGGATATCGATTCTCTCTTTTGACCAATGGGCATTAAATGTGTTTTCTCTCCACACATTTACCCTTTCTGTCCCTTTCTTCCACCACCCCCTTTACTTCTGCACTCTTTCATCCTCAACCCCTCCCTACTTCTAGATGTGGTGGCACAGTGGGCGCTATTTTGACTTGTCCTCTGGAGGTTGTGAAGACCAGGCTGCAGTCGTCTTCCATCACTCTCTACATCTCTGAAGTCCAGCTCAGCACCGTCAATGGAGCCAGTGTGGCCCGTGTTGCTCCACCAGGGCCTCTGCACTGTCTCAAGTAAGGAGAATGACGCTAAACATTAATTGTAATTTAACTTTACTTTAATAAAGATCATTTCAAAAAGGAACAACAGCAAGGTTAGTGTTGATTAAGTACAGGGTAGAATACTTATAGCAGCCAGATTCTGAGCAAACCTAATTATTTATTTATTATTTATTAAACTGTCAGTAAACATTGTTTTATGAATATCATGTGGGATTTTATAATATTGCGATACAGCTATAGTGTTAGATTCATGATATATCTGAACTTACTTTAGCTGTGTGAAATGAAATTAATTAAATTAATACTATAGTAGTGATTGTTTCTCAAACTGTAGTGACAGCTATCAGATTAGTACCCACTACAATAACGGATTCACCTTATTGCCACACAATGTATATTTATCCTTTTGGCCAACCCATTTGGTGTATCTGGCCAACATGCTGCCACAAACTGAAAAGTTTTTTTTCATTTCTGGTGAATTTTGTTTTAACAGAACTACTTGTTTTGTGTTTAGCAAGCTACAGAATCTCTAACCTCTGGCTGTTTTTGGTACTTTCTCTAGACACTTACTGGGAAACCAATGTAAAAAAAAATAAACAACACATTATTCCTTTTTGCCACACGATAAGCCATTCCTCTTCTCATTAGACAGTGGAAAGTTACCAGATGAGAAGTGAGAGTGTAGGGGAATCCAACATTGGTAAGATGTTTATTTGAAACCTACTGAAGGCCAATCTGGCTGGGTACTCATAATTAATGTTGGTCACTCCAGGATTAACAGTGTTAGCCATGTTGAAGTAATAAATATTCAACATGGCTGCGGTACTCTGCTCCTGCTCTCTGGCAACCTATTCCAACGATTGTCACAAAGCCCGTCACACAGTGTTAAACATATTGCATAATAAAGTTGCTATGTGTGGAATTTTCCACAGCCAAATGTGTGCATTAATTATCTTGCAAATTAAGGATTCTTGGGGCCACCCTTTACTTCATAGCTCAGGAAAAAAAGGTGCACTTGCACAGTTCAATAGAATACGAAGTGGTTAACAAGAATTTTTGTTTGATTAAAAACTTGATTTGTTCTCACTGGCTGTTGCAATAATTGTTTTCTTTGTCAGTTTGCCCGCCTTAAAAAGACTTTAACAGAGCTTTCTTTGGGATTTTGTTTCATAACATAAATAACGCCCTCTTTGGATTTAACTTAATCAGGGCATTGTTTTGGGCTCAACATTGGTCTTGTGCCGACATAAACCAACTTCTTGTCCTGTCCTTGAGATAAACAGCCACTGGCAGAAACTGTATACTGCTATTACATGATACAGAGTGGAGAAGGGTGGAAGAGGGAAGAACGTTATGACAGGGAAAGGAAAAAACCCACACGAGTCAAAGTGGGTCAACATGCACTGAGGTGCGGGGACTGTTCCATTTAAAGCAGAGTATGTTAACCAATGATTTACACCATCAGTCCAAGCTCTCTGTCTTTTGTAAGTTTGGGCAACTTGAGTTGAAGTATTTTGCTTTGAGCAGAAGTTGACAAAATGGCACAACTTTCAAACCCACAAGCTGAACAAATATGTAGCTGCATACATAACTGCCCCAAGAAAGATAGGGTCTCTGTGTTAGTTTTAATTATGTGGGACTGCTCAAGTTGAGCTACCATCATAATAATTTAATCTACCCTAAAGGACAAGTTTATTATTTGGCCCAAGGGACCCTTGTCTTTTGGGTCTCTTATTTTTTTCCAGGATGACCTGATGCTTTGCTTTAAATGTACTTTGCATCACAGTTTATGTGAAAACGTGACACAGAATGAATGAAGGTGAACTATGAGCCCTGCTCATTCTGAATGAGGTTACTGGGTTACATTGGAGACAGTGGAACAATCCTTGAACTCCGGTGACAACAGAAACGAGCACACCTGAGCCGTCATGATAAAACCACTATAAACACCACCAGAGCAAGGGCACCTGTCATTTTTTATTTTGGGTCTTCCAGTATGTTGATAGTGACCCTGTGTATAATGTCAGGCTATATTGAGTGTCAGATCTTGGCAGATGGCCTAAAAGTCTAGTTTACTGGTCCATCTGCTTTTGGATTTGGATATAAATTTAGCTACAGAAATCTTGTGCCAAATGAAATTCAGTCTCTATGGTTTGACCACTTCAATTTGGTAGATTTCTTTTGTTTACCATGGTGCCCCGTAAGCATCAACTACTAGATCTGTATTTTTTTGTCATGATACAGCTTTTTTACATCTTTCATTATTTACATTTTAAAAAAAATGTTTACATACAAAGGTGGGATCAAGAAGTGCCTAACATTAAACTAATAGTTTGATAGTTTGGGATAGTTATTTGCTTTCCTACTGAGAGTTAGATGATGTCAATCTTGTGCCTGTGCGGTAAACATGAAGCTCGCTCCTGGCATTGTGCTAAGATAAGCTGATCAGCTACTGGTGTTAGCTTCATATTCAGCATACAGACATTTGTGGTATTGATCTTTTCACGTAACTCTCAGCAAGAAAGTAAATAACCAAAATGTCAAAATATTCCTTTAAAAATAAAAGCAATGCAGTATTCTTTTTAACATTTGGGTTTAAAATTAATGAAATAAAAGTTATGACAACACCTGCATGCACAGAGAAAGAGGAAGAAACAATCCTACAGATATTATTTAAAGAATATTACTGTATGCTTGCACTGTATGGTGGACTAACCAAGTGAACGTTAACTGAAAACTCAATCTCTCTCTGCAGGTTAATTCTAGAGAGAGAGGGACCTCGTTCACTCTTCAGAGGACTTGGACCCAACCTTGTGGGTGTGGCACCTTCCAGGTATGTACAGTATTATCTAGAGTATTCTGGGTGTGTTGCATGTCTTCCACTCCTTCCTAGCTTAACCTTTATGAAGTCTCATACCTCGAAAATTTACAGGTTGAAGCCAAAAGAAAGACAAAGTAAAAGAACCTATACTTCAATATCTGATAACCAACACAATAGAGTAGGTCACCACAGTCTTTGATGTTTATAAGAAACCTTAAGAATGAACTACTGTTATCAGCACTGGCATGACCTGTTATCAGAGAATAAAGGCATTTCTGCGTCATTCACATGTTACATCAAACCTGGGCACACATTTTTATTAAGGAATGTATTTGCTTCTGCTAGAGCTTTTGGCTCATTCAGCGTTCATGTTGGCAGCAGTAATAACAGGCAACAAATACAGAAATAAATGGAGTTAAACTCAAGGAAATGCAGTGAAAATCTCTGCTTCAAACCTGCCGGAAATGAGTAGGTTCCCTATTTCTTAGCTTAGCTGGTTAGGGTTGCATAACAGCCTGAACTCAGTCAATCAAAGTCTGAATGAAACAGCAGCAACAGCTGGCACTGGGCAGCTGTGACACTGTCACCATGTGACTGGTGTCGTGTATTATTACAATGGACTTCCTATATTGAGAGAGTTGTTTGGCTCTAATCCTCCTCTCTGGCATGTCTAGTTTTCCCTAGCTACCGCTGCATCACATGGCTATTGTCATCCCCTACCGCTGGTTCGTTGTGGTCTCTGTCTCTCTATCTGAGTCATCTTCTCCACGCTCTTATCCTCCTGTCTCTGTCCCCCGCCATGTTTGTCATTCTTAGCCTATGTCAGTTCAGAATTGTTCTGTCCCCTGGGTCCTTCACTGTCTATGCTGTTTCACTGTGTCTGGCTCAGACTCTCTGAGGAGCGAAAAATGCCTGTGTGTGTGTGTGTGTGTGTGTGTGTGTGTGTGTGTGTGTGTCTGTGTGTCTGTGTGTCTGTGTGTCTGTGTGTCTGTGTGTGTGTGTGTGTGTGTGTGTGTCTGTGTGTCTGTGTGTGTCAGTCCCATGGGCGAATTGTCCAGCTGTGGAAGTAGCAGCTTGGGTCCTGGTCACGACACCTATAGCGAGCTGTGTTATAGGAAGATGCTGTTACATAAGAAGTGAACATTTCTGCTGTCTGACGTGCAGTTTTATGAACCTCATGAAGAGTGATATTTTCCAATATTCCCTATACATTGAAATATTAAAATTCCTTTCCTTTTTGTATGGCTCCACTGCCACATCAAATGAAAGATTCAGGACACCTTTTTATCATTTTATTCATTTTTATTTTAATTCACAATTTACTTGGTATCTGTGGAAACTTCTAGATCTAGAATTGAAAATACATTAGATGTGGACATTTTCGTATTGTGGGCTAGCAGCATAGCAGCCTTGTTTTTTTAATACTGCTGGTTTGTTATACTTATTGATTTGAGTCCAAATGAAATGTCAATAAATGAAAAGACTTACAGTAATTGGCAAAAACTCCTTCATTAAAGTTTTTCAATTGGTTTGTCAAGAGTCATTCTAAAATCCTGGCCGAAGTACTGCAGGTTATTGATCATCAATGTCAGCATAGTTATTATGGATACAGTCAGTAAAATATTCCAGTTTTAACATTTTTGGCAATGTAAGATGCAACATTTCCAATCCATTTAATTTCAGTCAAATTTAGATAACGTATAAGCTTCTAATGCAACATAATTGAATGAAATAACAGACTTATTATCTTATTTAACTACGCAGGGAGGTCTGGGTTGCTGGGCTACTGAGTTATTCTCTCCTGTTATAATTAGGAAACAGCACTCTGACGATGGAAACCTAAAAAAAGCTTCTGATGCTAATGAGAGCACGGTCTACCGAGCATGCTGCTGGCATTCATTAGCAGCAAACATAACACATGTGCATACAGATCAGCTTACACTGGCAGCATCACTCATAACGTATGAGAGAGGCACATATACATAATTCCTCTCTCATCTGCACTGCAGCATGATTATGTTGTGCATGCATGCTCTCAATTCAGAACGAGGGCTGGGAGGGGAGGTCACCGGGTTTAATTCCACTCAGCAGAAATGTTGACTAAATCCTGTGATTTTATTTAGAGAGGGGCAGCTAAAGTCATTGGAGCTAAATCTGCTACTAAAGTGCGCTATGCGATTGAGATGGTCGGACACACACATGCATGCGCACACACGGGCACAGATAACTCTTTCCCTGGCTTGCTTTTGGACTACATATTAGCTTAGCTTATCCCTGCATCCCCTCATGTACAGTTTTAGTGTTATATTTAAGGCAATTGAAATAGCATTTTCCTATTTAATACAGTTAACTTAATGCCATTCCTTTTATATAAATCATGCAATTATATAATCTGTTTGTATTTTAAGTTTACTTAACTCATGGTTCCAGTTAATGTTTCTTTTATTGTATAGTTGAATTCAGAAGAAGCTAATGAAAAAAGCATTGTTTTCTCCAGCTGTTTCCCTACTAGTTAGTTGTAGTTACTCCTAAGTCAATTTAACCAGCGTGTTTGATTCCTTACTAACCTCTGTTGTATTTGCCACAGAGCGATCTACTTTGCGGCCTATTCAACAGCCAAGGAGAAGCTTAATGGGATACTTGAGCCAGACTCTACCCAGGTGCACATGGTGTCGGCTGGGATGGCAGGTAATGATGGCTCCTTCTCCCCCTCTCTTCTGTTTGTTTGTCACTGTCGGTTGCTGAGTGTTATATCTGCCTGTCTGTCTGTCTGTCAGTCAGTCTGCCTGGGCAGTGTAAATCACTGATTAGGTTTTATATAAAAAACATTCAGTTTGTCTTCATCAGACAGATTTCATTTTTCTTTATCTTCTCATGTCAGTATCCCAGAGTTTCACTTCATTTTTATTTTTGCCTCTTAACCCCCCCTCCCCTTCCATATACATGTGTGGGATGGTGGGATCTTCACAAATTTAAAAGCTTGTGAATACCTAAAGCATGCTAAAGCTAAATAATATTATCTGTCATAAGTAGTCATTACGTAGCTGTTTCATGTATAGAAATATTAAATATATACGATTGGGGGTTTATCAGAAAGCACAATTTGAGACTCTCAGGATCAAACTGACCTTGATTGTGGTAAAAACATTTTGTTTACTGTGAAAGAAGTCCATGCAAGATATATTTATCCATATATAAACACTGTACTTTGTACAATCTACAATCAAATTATTCAAATAAAAAGTGAATCTCCACCTTGAAACCATGCCAGTCACATCTTTGCTACTTACTCTCACCAGCACCCATCTACCAAGATAATACAGTATCTTGTCTCTTCATGGTGGCCTTGCCAGCCCACATACAGCTGATGAGACAAATCCTTGTATCAGCAGTGACAGACTTTAATGCATTAAAACCCACATGATACACAGCACCCAGGCAATTTTAGGCTGTGATTGATTGTGCTGTATATCTTTTTAGCTGTTTGACAAAAAGAAGAAAACCACATGGTCCTCAAAGTTTAGGTTGTGCTTTCCTCCTCTCCTAGCCCCTTTGTCCCTCTTGTCCTTCATTTTTTTTCCCACCTCTCCATTTTTCTCCTCTTTTTATTCTTTAATTTTGAGGCCTCTCCAGAGGACTCTGTAAATGGTTTAACATCCCAGTTGTTACTTAAACAGTGTGGTGTGGGCCCCCTTCTTTGCTCTGTGTGTATAGAGGAGAGAGCACGGCCCCGAAAGGTCAACCGGGGCCCCTGGCACTCGGGCGGACACGTCAGGTAGCACCCCATTTCTTTACACTGGTATGATGAAAACCATGGTGATTTTTATGAATATTAGAAAGTTCATAATGGTTATTCATTTGTAATGATATTACCATTGCTTATGGCAGTGTGTTTGCTTCTGGTTTGTAGTTTAAGGTTTTTTTTATTGCTTAGTCTTGACACACACCCCTTCCCCTTAGCCTGTTGTCTTGTTCCATCAACATAGTAAAGGTAAAGTAATGACACATACGACTGTGGATTTTATGTTGTCAGCATAAAAGAAATGCTAACCTTGTCACTGCTACGAAAGGTTGTAATGGATGTGCTCCATTTAGTCTTTTGTCATCATCCATCAACACCATTAGTGCCTCAGTCATATCTTTCCTAGGAGAATCAGTATCAGTCCATCCAAAAGGCTGCCACTATTTCAACATGATTTCTTCTTTTTTAATTAGTTGGATTTCCTGAAGAGAGTTTGCCTTGACAGTTTAACCCCAATAGTCCTGTCTGGCGCCAGTTTAAAACACACAACTGAATACTTGCCTGTGGACAAGATGCAGTAAAGGCACAGACATGTAACTGATGGAACCGGGCCAACTTTTGCACAAGAAAAGTCAGTGAACTTTTGGTGAATGCGCCCGAAGAATAGGGTAGTAGTACTTCATTTTGCACATAAACAGCTTGGTAAGTTTCATTTATATGAAGTACCTTGAATGAAATACAGGCAAATGTCTGTGTAGTTGTACAGCACACCGTTACGGTATTGTTTCTGTCTTTCATATGCACATATTCCACTTTTAAGTTTGTCAGCACTGAGAAGTAGCAGAGTTAAAGAAAGCCTTAGTGACTGAACAGCTTGGCTGAATGTCTGGATAATTGCTTCCAGTTTGTAAAGTAACTTTGTGGAGTTACTGCCTCTCATGGCCCTCCCTGCTGTGAATTGTGGGCTTCCTTGTACGACGAGTTCCACTCCCTCCAGCAGTTAATCTAAAGCATGTTTGCCTTCTCTGAATGTAGGTCAAACTCCTCTGGAGAAATTTCACACGGATTATGTGTCTATAGAAGGATCATAATGCATGACATGCAGCAGCGTGCCCATATGCAGATGCATCTCTTCAGTGGTCTAGTTCAAGAACTAGATAGTCTTTATGGGCTAAGCATGTATCTTCTAAATGGCTTGTCCAAACTATTAAGCAGGCATATGTGGTTCACATCCAGAAATTCCAAAGTTACTTTGTTACCTGTGAAAAATCGACTGTGAGACATTTTTACATACACATAATTAGGTTTTCTTTCATGTGCATATATTTTAACACAGTTATTAATGGTCTTCTGTTGTCCTATTAAGCTGATTATGATTAAGGAATATGTTATATCTAAACAAAAGAAAACAATTCAAACAAATTCAACAGAAACCATTCATAGAGTTAAAGCATCATAACCAAATGACAGCTACATAAAACAGGCCTCGGTTATAATGTGCACAATTATGAACATTAAACTGTTCGTGTTACAATAAATACAATACAATAAATAGATTTACCCATTAACAATGAGTAACTGTAGAAAACTGTAAAAACAAATACAAGTAATTGTTATAAAAGTATTTTTCCACTGGGGTTGCCATCTCCAGTGTCCTTTTGTGTGACATTGAAGAGAACTTGTCTAATAACTCCTGTTAGGAGTTTTTTTAAATCTGTTTTCTAGAAACAGGCTGGCTCTCTGGAGATGTATTTTTCTCCACGTGCAAGGACGTTTTAAATTTATCCCAGTTTTTCCAGAATAAGGTTTGGTCCAGTGAGTATTTGGGGCCAGTTGAGTTGCATTCATTGTTCCACCTCATTTATTCACTTCGCTGTAATCAGTCACTTAATCCTTATGTCATCACATGTTCATAAAGTCTCCTCACTCCTTTCATCACCATTGTCTACAGCTTAGAGTCTTTTATACACAACGACAAGGTTAGCATTTCCACCTGCCTCTCTTTATTTTCTACCTTATTTCATTAAGCATTTAATTCCGTTATTTGTAGTTTATAAACTGACAGTGGCACAATGATAATGAAGAATACATCTTCAGTTTTATTTTCCTGCCTTTTCCTGTTTGTACTGTACCTCACTCTGGTGAGATGGAGCTGGAGTTTTGGATTGGGTTGGTTTCTATTCAGTCAACATTTTCTTTATTCCAGTTAATAAAAGGATTAAGGGAGAGATACATTGTAATGAAATGAAAGTAAAAGAAATGTAAAACAATTTCATACAACGTATAAATCAAAGTGGATGAGGCTTAAGAGTTGGGATTAGAGTTTGGGGAAAGATGGGGGGAGGTCTTTCCTTCACCTCCCATCTCTTCTCCAGCTACCTGTACAATACCAGTGGGTTGGGGTGGGTGGTTGGTTGATGGGGTTGGGGGTGGTTGTGACTGCTGCTTGTGTGTGACTGTGGTACAGAAAAGCCTGTGTCTATTTTAGGGCTTTACTGTAAAGCTTTCACCCCTGCGTGATTGGGTGGGAGACCCCCGCCATCTGAGCCCCCCATATCTGCAGGCTACTAGCTGCAGCGGGGAGGAGCTGGAGGAGCTTTGCCCCTCCCTCGTGAGTACACGCCATAGACGCTACTTCCTTCTACCTCCCTCTTTTTTCTTCTTCCTCTTTTTTGTTCTTTTCTTCTTCTCTTCAGCAGACCTGTGTCATCCTCTCTTCTTCACGCTGCTGCCTTAATGTAGGGCTGTGTTGCATTGATACACTAGATGTGACTCAGGTCTCTTTATAGACTTGCCCTCGTCCATTCTGCAAATGGTTCGCGTTTTATTTCTTTATGTCATTTGTATCAGAAACTTTTAGAGAGACCTTGTGTCATTTCATAATGATACTAAGTGCTCATTAATTAGCTTTACACCCTACATATAAAACTTTACATTACTGTAAATTGCCTAGTTTTCCCACTGAATAAAAAACCCAATGTCTGTTCAAATTATCATCCCCAGTCAATAACCCAAAACAGGCGCATGCACACACTCACATCTGCTTGACATATATTCTGTCTACACAAATGCATTTTTGATGCATTTTTCAGAGACCCAATTATTGACTGACCCCAGTTTCAAACTAGGCTAACATTAAGTTCGGCTGTGGAGGCAGGTGAACATATAACACGGTTTCCCACCATTGGGAAGAAAAGACTGCACTAAATTTCATGTCGGAGACTTTCCACTTCAGTCCTGCTGAATAATTGAAGAATCTCCTCCAGACACCATTTTGTTTCTCTGTGCTGTTGTACTATAGTTGTGCTAGTTGGGCCAGTATCTGGCCCACAGCCTGTCTCTAGCCTCTAACCAGTTAACCACTGGTTGGTTAAATGTCACAGAGTAAAGATAAAGATGTCCAATAATTGACTAATAAACAGGGCACATTCATATTGCTGAATCAACAATGAGGGAAAATTTATAGCAATATGAAAACTAATAATCAAACTGTTGTGACTTGAACTTGTGGAATGACAGATTTGCTTTCAAAAAGGCACACAAGTGTGTGTTTACTAAAAAGCATATTGAGAGTGATATTTCAAAAAACAGACTGTCTCTGTAAGCTTTTTAAGATTAACTTAGGTTTTATAGCAAATTAATTTTTTATTAGAAACACAAGCTTTCATTAGCATTTCAAATAAATAAATCAGACGGCAGTATAATAATAATTTGCCACACTAAAAGGCCTAAAATTATTTTTTTGCTTGGCCTCATTTTCCACTGTTTAATGTTAGATTTTTTTCAAAAAGATGGTAGATGATAAAAAGCACTCAAAGATGCTACCTTCTTGCACTGTTAGTTGAGATACTACTTTACTTTAGGAAGAGAGCTGCTGTTTATGTATACCTGTGTAGCATTTCACATGAAGAGGATCAATATGTGAATATGGAAAAGCATGCCTTGTCTGTAACACAATTAATGGTTTTCCCAAAAAAACAAACGACAAAGATTGAATTGAATCTTTTTGTGCAGCACTTTGGAAACCTTGTATTTGTTAAAGTCGTGCTATATAAATAAAGTGGATTGGATTGGATTGGATTGGATAAAACAGATGTGGATTCAAATCATCTATACAATAATTATCTGATCCTGTTTAGTGAAGTGCTTTCTCACTGTCCTTGTACAGCATAGAATGCTTAAAGGTCCAGTGTGTAACATTTAGGAGGATCTATTGGCAGGAATGGAATATAATATTCAAAGGTATGTTTTCATTAGTGTATAATCACCTGAATACAGGAATCGTTGTGTTTTTGTTACCCTAGAATGAGCCTTTTATATTTACATGCCTTTCATGGAGTCCGCCATGTTGAACCTCCATGTTTCTACAGTAGCCCAGAAAGTACTGAGCAAACACGGGTTTTAGATTGGGGCAATCATGTTTTTGCTCGTTTTGCGGCCAGTGTCGTTTTTTGTGAAAGTTGTGATCTGCAACTACACCATTAGATGATCTAAATCCTACACACTGGACCTTTTTAATATAGTGAATTTCATTGTGTTATTAAAAATTATCTCTGTAACTGTCTGAACCTCTGACCTCCTCTAAATTTCCCAGGGTTCACCGCCATCACAGCCACCAATCCCATCTGGCTGATCAAGACCCGTCTGCAATTGGAAACCAGGTATGAAATCTCAATCCTTAAAGTGTACAAGTGGAATGCGTTGTATGACTTTTTCTACAATATTAATGAGAATAAAATTATATTGTTACTAAAATTAAAATACAATTTGATTTCAGAACCCGGGGTGAGCGGCGAATGAATGCATTTGAGTGCGTGCGGCGGGTGTACCAGATGGACGGTGTGCGAGGTTTCTACAGGGGCATGTCAGCCTCATACGCTGGCATCTCTGAGACCGTTATTCATTTTGTCATCTATGAGAGCATCAAACGTAAACTGCTGGAGTCCAAGGCCCATGCCAGCATGGACGAAGAGGAGGAGTCTGTGAAAGATGCCTCAGACTTTGTGGGCATGATGCTCGCAGCAGCCACCTCCAAGACCTGTGCCACCTCCATTGCCTACCCTCATGGTAACCTTCTGTCTTACTCTTTGTAGTTTTGTTTTGTTTTTCTCCAAAGGACAGGGCTAATAATATATTTTTCTTATTGTCAACAAGTCCCACAAAAACATCAAAACCAACAATATGTTAATCCATCTTTGAATACTTTCCGACTTTCCCAGCCTGTCTGTGCCCAAGCTCACTATTTCCTACTGAAGACGCAAAAGCAGGACACAAATATATACTTTCATTTTTTATACTAATATATTTTGCCAAACCAGCTGGGCACTGTAGATTTTAATAAATGTTACACAAACAGGAGTAAGTAACACATTTGTTGGGGACTCTTTTAGCCTCCTCCAAGTGCTCCAGTGAGATTTCATGGCAGCAGGATGATGCATGCAGGATCTGCTCAAACATTGCCCTTGTTCGTCATAATGGAGGAACATGTCACCCAGTGCGGCACTCTGCCTAGCTTCAGGCTCAGGTTAAAAATGTGCTCCACTACTCCGCACAGCTGGTCTGCACAGGATTTCAGAAGCTTTGAGCTAATGCCATCAGGACCCGTGGCCTTCCTTGTCTTTATTCTCCTCAGCTCATTTCTCACCCGGTTTGTTGTGAGGGGCAGATTGGGAGAGGGGCGCTGTATGCTGTAGCTTGTGGGTTGCTTAGAGTTTGAGGAGAAAAACAACACCATTTTAATGTCTCTTCTGATCAGTTAACACATCTTGTTTGTTTAGTTTGTCTCTAAAGTGTCTAGCTTTACGGGGAGGAAACAAAGAGAGAGTGATGCAGGTTTTCTTGAAAAATATCATGATCCACTATAAATCTCACAATCATTCTCCACCTATGTGCAGCCCACGGCTGAATGCAACAGTTCAGATACCTTCTCTTAAGATTGTCTGAAGTCATTCTTGGACACAGAGAAAGTCAATATCTCTAGTAGCTTATTTACAGTAGGTTAGGATTAGGTAGGTTGATGGACAGCTGCTATACCAAAATATGGATCAAAAATAGCAAGTTTGCATTTAGGGAGACTACACAACACGCATAGGCAAAGTCTGACAAGAATAACTAGCGGCCAGTAGTGTATTTAACACTGTTTTCTCCCTCTACTCTCAAATTGCAGAGGTGATCCGCACACGGCTACGAGAGGAAGGCAGCAAGTATCGGTCTTTCTTCCAAACTCTGCTGACCGTACCTAGGGAGGAGGGATACCGGGCGTTGTACCGTGGCCTCACCACCCACCTCGTCAGACAGATCCCCAACACCGCCATCATGATGTGCACCTATGAAGTGGTGGTCTACCTGCTTGGCCGTTAGCCCACCAGGTATGTCTCCCTCCTGTTTAAAGAGGGAGACAGTTAGCAAATGATTGAGAAGGAGGCCCTTTGGCGAGGAAAAGTGAGGACAAAATGTCAAAATGAAGACCAAAGGAAGAAATAACATACTCTATCTAGTGGACCAGAAGAGGACAAACGGACAGAAGATGAAGCCCTTTGTTACCATATCTGCATCATCACCTCCAGTTCCCTTTATCAGACTGATGGAGGGCGCTACAGATCACAGAAGAGGTATTATGGGTAGGACGAGAAAGGAGGCACTGACAGGAAAGACACAGAACGAGTTTGGCACCTGTTAAACAAAAGGTACCTCTGCAGGAAAATAAATGAAGCACAGTTCAGTGGCCTTAACGGGAAGGGTTTTAGTTTGCGTCCTCTGAAGCAAAGAGTGAAAAATTGCCTTTTCACTCTTGGATAGAGATATTGTGAAAGGGGAATGCTTGGAGGTAACATAATTTGACAGGAAAGATGATAACTAAAATGTAGGTAAATTTCAATAATCCAAGAACCTGTACTTGGCATTATTTGTCTGCACTTGCTTCAGTGCTGTGAGACTACTGTACGATTAGATAACTGGCAGTTAAGGAATGTTCATTTAAAGCAGAATGTCAGAGGGAAGTTGGCATTTAAAAACAAAGACATGAGTCTGTTTTGAAGTTACCTGAACTACCCGTCTTTGCACTACAGAAAGTGAGGCTTCAAGCATTCCCCTCTGAACACTGCAGTCAACACCCCCTCGGTGGCCTGAAGTTCATACGTAGCAGTGAGCTAACTGGCCAAACACAATGATGAGCTTGTGACGGCCTGCCACTCGAACACATGCCTCAGAAACCAGCATGTGTTCGATAAAGAGTGGGTTGAAATGCTGACTTGCTCATTGAGCGTTTTATTTCTCTACAGCTGTGGTGGTGACATGCTTCGGCGGAAGTTGGCCTTCAATGTTGGCAGTTTCTCTTTGTTCAAACTCAAATAAGACGAGTATACAAGGCCAGCTTCTGCCTGCACCCAGTCACTGCTCAGGAGGACTTTAAAATCTAAAAAAACACGAGACCAGTGTGTCCTTTTTTGAGATGTGAAGTGTGTGATTGTTCAAAAGGTACCAAGACTTAGTACTATTGGAGTGCCACTACTTGAATATAATGTGACGGTGTGGGGAAATGTTGGAGTGGGAGAATGTTTATAGAGTTTCATCATCACCCCGTGTGTGTGTGTGTGTGTGTGTGTGTGTGTGTGTGTGTGTGTGTGTGTGTGTGTGTGTGTGTGTGTGTGTGTGTGTGTGTGTGTGTGTGTGTGTGTGTGTGTGTGTGTGTGTGTGTGTGTGTGTGTGTGTGTGTGTCTCTGTGTGTGTGTCTCTGTGTGTGTGTGTCTCTGTGTGTGTGTGTGTGTGTGTGTGTGTGTGTGTGTGTGTGTGTCTCTGTGTGTGTGTGTGTGTGTCTCTGTGTGTGTGTGTGTGTGTGTGTCTCTCTGTGTGTGTGTGTGTGTGTCTCTCTGTGTGTGTGTCTCTCTGTCTGACTTGTTGGTTACTTTCACAGTGATAATCTAACTGTTAGGGTTAAGAGTGTGTGTGTGTGTGTGTGTGTGTGTGTGTGTGTGTGTGTGTGTGTGTGTGTGCTCGTGTGTCTACGTTCATGTGTGGCTGCATGTATAATTAATATCTACTCCAGATTTCCCTCCACTAACTATTAACTTGCGAGACACTGCGGTTGCGAGTGTGGAGAAGCTCCTGTACGATACTGGCAGCTTTCATTCCCACTCTCATGCCAGTCCTTTCTTCTAGTGGCTTCCAACTGATCTGATAACATGCACTTTTGTGGCCTTTTAGGGCTTGTGCTTTGCATTTTATTGTGTGGACAGTTTGAACTTGTACATTGTAAAAGAAAAAAAGTATTACTGTATATCAAAATGGTATTTTGCATTTTCTGTTCTTATAACAGATATATTGTACAGTTTAAAGTTCTCAGTAGTTGTGAAGGATGTCCAAATGTGTGTGTGTGTGTGTGTGTGTGTATATATATATATATATAATATAGATCCTGTATATGCATATCATTTGTTGTTTTTCTCTGAGACCCATGTATGATCATGCTGTAGTTTGCGTTTGCAAATTATTGCTTTCATTTATGTGCAATTTGACCTTGTTTTGACATGGATTGTTGATATGAATATTGATATTGCTTAGCTGATTTTTCTTACAGTAGCCTATACATTGTGGGTTTTTTTTGTATTTGTATGTTGCTGTCATGAAAACATTTGTTCTTACATGAAAGCTGACAAATGCTGCAGGACAAATACTTTCATGTAAGCGTTTGTGCTGGAGCGTTGGTCATTTTACGGCATTCATAAAAAGTGTTCCATTTTGTAAAGTTTGTCATTGGTAATGTTTACATTGTTCATTAGTTTCTGTCAGATTATTTTTGGTTCTCCAAGCAACGTGTTTTGAAAATCAAGTTTTTTTTTTTGTTATAGTATTTTAATGTAAGAGCTCGAGAACTGAAATTGTGCTTCTACAACACTGTACAGAGTACCACAGTGAGTTGGGACTTTTAAAAACTGAATCAAAGAGATCCAGAACTTGCTAAACTAATCTGATACTGAAGAGGGTTGTTGGTAAGAGATGGTAAATGTACCCTTTAAACAATCCTTTCAAAAAGTTCATACAGCATACATAAAGATCTTTTCAAATTGTATCCAAGCACCTCTTATATTGTTTATTATCAAAACATCATTTTTTTTACTTGACTTTTAAAACTTCTGTTAAGCAGAGAAAAGCTGTCCCTCCACAGCCTCACTGACCCAGTGGTCTCACACTGCTACATATGGAAATGATGAAGTCTGCTTCTAGTTTCCATGTTTAAAAGTATTGTTTATATCATCAATTATAGGAATCTGGTGCGTTCACTTTGTTGAATGCTCTCGTTTTTTCCACACTTGTTGCTGGATCCTTTCAGAGGCAAACCAAGGCCTGTGTTGTACCTTGTAATAGTTATTGATTTTCAGTCTCCATTGACATGTTGTGCTAGCCTATAGTTGCTGTCGGTGCTTGAAAAAAAAAATTGCTGACTCATTTTAGCGTCCATGTTTTCCTGTAATACACTAATAGCTTTTATCTCTGGCTTCATCGCAGTAATACTTGAGGTCAAATTACCAAAATGTGACATAAACGGACAACTGGACAAACGGTGCAAACATTTCACTTTATTTTTTACCTCTCATTTCAGTGTCTGTATGTAATTCAATATCTAACATGTATGTTGGACAGGATGCAGCCTCAAGAAGGGTTGAATGAAACCTGGAACATTGATTTTTGCCAGCTCAATCATTGATGTATTTTTTGTTTGTTTGTTTTTTAAACAAAAAGTAAATAAAAATCCTCTTGCAACTAAAATTATATAAGCTTTTGTTTCTGTTTGTTCTCTATTCCTCTAACTATTTATTTATTTAGTGACTGATTTGTTTTGTTGTACAGGTATTTAAAGATAGATAGAACTTAAGTCATTCCTAAGGCAATTTTTGTGCCAAAGCTGCTCAGTATACATAGTAAAATAGAAATGTAATGTATACATGTGTAGAATACAGGAGATGCAATGTATGATGATGCAGTTTCTATTTTATACATTACAAATGCTAAAAACTGTACATAAATGTGCGTCAGTGTTACTGTGTTACACATGTTTAAGAAACTGTAAATATAAAAATGAAAGTGGAGAGTATGAATGTTAGTCCACGAACTATTTGTATTTACCTACTGCCACCGCCAGGGGGAGCCAGATAGCTCCTGATAGAATTGACCAGCGCACAAGTTCAATTTACTGAATTCACTAATTTCGGTTTTCATCTCCCTAAATTGCAATTTAAAGTGTCATAATTAACACACACACACACACACACAGTCCCATCTTACACACCATTACACTTTCACGATCATTTTCATGCTCAGATATTAGGGGCCAATAAGCATAGATTTCTATTTAGTCTCTCTAATGCACGTGTAATTCGTACAGCAGAATTAATCAATGGATGTGGGCTGATGGAAACTGGAATAATCCATCATCATACATATCATGGTTGTGACTTACATTATAAAATGGCCATGAGACATTAGCTTGTATTGATTGTGTATTGCAGCTGTTGGGGTTGTTCAGCACAAACAGGCACACAGCGCACACACTGCCTCATTTAAACTAGCTGCAAATCAATCAGCCCTGCTCTGTTTTAATTCAGCAGAAAAGCCAGAATTTCACATATTACAGCAGATCAGCACATTGATACTGTGGTTGCGTGTCTGAATTGATATCCACTTAACAGCCCGGTGATTTGTTTATTGATAACGATTCAGTTGGAAACAGCAATCTGGGATGTTCTCAAGAACATAGAAATAAAGCGTGGGGATAATGACGCCTTTAAGTGCTGTCGGAATCCTAGCGGTAGCAATAACTGAAAATGGCTTTTTAATGAGACAGTAAAAAAAAAGAAATGGCGGTAAACAAAGTAGAACAGATTTAATTCATTCAATTATGTTAAATTTGTCATTAAAATACAAATTATACTATAATTGATATATAATTGAAAAGAAAAAGTGCTTCACACAGATCCAAACGTGTATTTAACAGGACTGTCCTGGCCAAGACCGCAGCAGGACATACACCATAAAATGCATTGTGCCTGAAGTTGAAAGTTTCAAACTAAAACATCTGAAATAGTTGAAATACTGAAAAATGTTGAAGTTGAAGTGGCACACACACAAACACACACACACACACACACACACACACACACACACACACACGGAAATATAGTTACTGAAAGAAGTTGATTATGACTGGAATGAAAGCTCTGAAATGAGTTGAAATAGTGATAAATGGAGTTGTGTCAGTCAGTTTTAGTGTAAACACTAAAAACAAATAAGACATTAAAGCAGCAGAACTGTCTGTTGGCGTGTCAGAGTTGAAAATCAAGTATAAACAATTCAGATATGATCAGAAAGATAATAAAACAAAATAATAGCGGTTGGCATGCCATCACAGGAAATATGAAAGCATATATGCAATCATATTTGTTAATTAATGACAGAAAAGCAAACTAATATAAAATCACAAAACAGATGATCGTATCCTAAAAATGACAACCTAATAGTTTAGAAACAGTTTTTGCATCTTGAGAACGGGCTCAGCAGCTGTAGTAGTATTAATAGTTACAACTGTAGTAACAGTAGTAGTAGTATTAGTGATAGTAACAACAGTAGTAGCAGTAGTAGTAGCGGTATCATATGTGTACGGCTCTATAAATTGCTACAACGGGAGACCCCAGTTTACGAGCAGCCTATGAACGCACCATTGGAGCCTGAACCAATAGCGTCCGAGCCGAACGTTGTGTTGTGGTAGAAGCGACCAATCAGCGCCCGTTCTGCGGAGTAAACGGACACTCAGCATCGGGTCCCTGGCTGCTTGCATGTATCGAGCTGCTGTTTACTGCAACAAAGAAACCGTCGCTACATCGCTGAAACATCTCTAACAGCGCTGCGACAGCGTTGTTGTCCCCAGAAGAGGAGAGGAGAGGCCACGGTTCTTACTCACCTCGCAGAGCTAATCCTCAGAGGAAGAAAAGTGTCGTTTGGAGACGAGTTGAGTTTCTGTTCGGTGAGTGTTTCTCTGTTTACATCGTGCGAGCGGACCACATTTGGATCTGGAGCGCCAGGTTATGTTTTCTTTTAAAAAAAAAAGTATCTTCAACCCATACTGGACCTTTGACTGATTGTATGAGTTTAAATTTAACGCAGAGAAAAAACGACTTCTCTTTCTGTATCTTAGTTTATCGCCTCTTGCCGTGTTATTTGTGCTAAAGTTCTTACCAACAACTTGGATCATAAATACTCACACAGGGAACCTGGATGTGTGTGTGTGTGTGTGTGTGTGTGTGTGTGTGTGTGTGTGTGTGTGTGTGTGTGTGTGTCTGTCTGTCTGTCTGTCTGTCTGCACTTCACATGGTAAGGCCTTACCTCACTGGTCATCACCTCACCTTACATCCTACATAATGGGATGGAAAGGTTGACTCTCTCTCTCTGTATTGAATGTGGTGTCGGGGGAAACCATGCATTCTGTGTCTGTGGAATAAGCAGAATAAGTATAGATTTCCAACCTTTTATGGCTTTAAAATGAAGTAAATGCAGTGAATGCAGTCTCTACATTTTTTTTAAATTTACCACAGTTCATTGGCTGTGTGTAGAAACCTAATATCCTAATGGAAGTGCCACAGCAGGTGTAACTCTAATATCATTAGTTGCTTTAGTGTAAAGTGACAGTGCCTTTCCTCTAGACAGGCTCTATGATCAGTTCTCTCTGTGGCTACACCTTGACATTTACTCAGTTAAGATGGGTAATGTGACATGGATGGGGAGCGGAGGAGAGGAACCCGGAGTGTAACAGAAGAGCAGAGGAGAAGGGAAGGATGAGAGTGTAAGGAGAGGAGGGGAGACAAGAGCCGGTGACCAGGGGGGTACTCCCTCCTCACATGTGCCAGGTGCAGCGTCACTTCATTGGGTTTACTAACAAGTAATGAGCTAAAAAGTGTGTGTGGGTGGATGGAGTCTGCCGGTTGATGGATGACCTGTCGAGATAAAGGAGGGGGGTTGTTTGGTGGAGAGAGACGGCGCGATAGAGAAATGGAGGAGGAGGAGGAGGAGGAGGGGATGGGGCACTTTAATGGTGACAGGGGGTCATTTATCTGTCTGCTGGATCTGACCAGCCGGTCACTATGGGAGATCGGACCGCTCACCAGCATCTCCGCTCAAAGCCTCGCTCTCTTTGTTGCTTTTCATCTTCTATCCACACTTCCCAACTCTTCTTCTGCTTCCTCTGGAGTTCACCGGCGTCTTTTTAATGCTCTCAGCACATAATGTTTCATGCATCTTCCTCGTAACCCTCACATTGCTGTCTCTTCAGCTCTTGGACTTCTGCTAGTTTCAGTGCACTTCTTCCCAACTATCTTTGGGCACAGTTAAGTTCAGTTCAACTGAACACTTCAGCTTCTTTTTATCTTTTACTTTTTAAACTGCAGTTCACATACTTTAATTGTTCACTCTTCTGCTAAGAGAACTCCCACTTCCAGTGTTTATTCTGCTACTTTCAGTAAAGACACACACACTGACAGACTAAAGCTTGAACTTTTGACTCTTACCCATACACTTGTAGCATTTTTACCTGTTTACGCCTGCAGTTGTCAGTATAAGCAAGCGCACTTGAATTTTCCTCATAAAATTTAGCCTTTTCTAGTTCTTGTTGGACATTCTTTGCTCAGCTCTCTCCTTCTCCTTTTTAATGTGCTACCGCTCTATCTTTACTTCCTGCTTTTTCCCTCCCTTTTTAAAAATCTCCCCTTGTCCCATTTACTCACTAGAGGGACTAATAAGCAGCATTATGAGTCAGTGAGAGGAGAGAGGCAGATGGGATTCAGCTTGTAGGCCAGATAAGGGTTTTTAACTCTGCTGTGTCTTATCACACCCTGTCACTGCTACTTAAACTGAACAGATACTGCCTGGCATTATGTATAGACTGGTAAAAATCCTCAAACTGAGATAGTCGAAGTTCTGTCTGAAGCATGTTGGAGTAATCCCTGTACTTACGGCCGCTAGTGATGTCAGTATACTAATTTTAATGCGGCGATGCTGAGATGGGCGACTTTTTCGGGTGGTTCACAAAGGCAACAGCCGCCCAGGAGTTGACTCAGTGTTATTGCGCATCAATTAATCAACATCTTGGTCATAGAGTAGAATCTGTAATTAGATTTTAGGTCCATTTCTTGCCAGTTGCTGGGCATTTTTCTCATCTGCATTCTGGTCAGTGCCCAGTGTGTCAGCATGCTCATCATTTAGTGACACACGAGGCAATTTGGTGACATAACAGACAACATTTTGTAGTCGGTGAGAGCTGCTTTCCGTCAACCATCATTATTTTTAATTACTTTATTTCCCTGCCTTCCCCCACTGTGCTTGTTGTGCACCACAGCCGAGTACCACAGGAAGCAGCCTCTGTCAGGAAGCAGGCTCAAAGATCTGAACCTGTGAAGCTTCAAATTAGACTAAATCAAGGCACAAAATAGATCACAGAGTGTTGTATCTCTATTGGTGAGAGTCACATTTTGGCAAGCATAAGCAAAGTGTAAATTGGTGCTTTGAAAGGATTTAAATGTATGTATGTATCGAACTAGGGCTGAAACTAGCAGTTATATTTTATATATTATATTGTATATATTATAGCCTGATCCTTTAACTTTTCATCTAGTCTCTACCTGGGTCTGTAAATTACAAATACATTCCTATGATAATGCATTACCCATTTATCCCTAGAAACTTAAAGCTCCATATATGTGTTTAATAAATGTAACTTTTCT